CCTAAAATGGCTACCTGCTCCTCTCGCTCTTCAACTTGATCTCCTTTCAGAAAGAATATAAACCAAGGAAGAAGTTAAAGTGTTGGTTAAATGGATGATTTGAAAGCATGAAAAGTCTGAAACAATTTGATGACTTAAAAGTATCTTAAAGTAGTATTTATGATATATCAATTTGGAGCTCGAATAATTACCCACACCTTTCGTAAACTTTTTCGATACGTAATCATTAATTGTCAATTGGGCTGTGTTTCCGAATGGCCTCATCAAAATTGAGAACTCAGGTTCGATATATAACCTAAATTGTCTACAAGAAACCGATTAAAGTTGGTTTCAGAGCTGGATGTCTTACCGTTTTCGAGATACATATCGTGGTAAGGTTATGTTAGGTCAGATTAGGTTGGGTTCTGTGTATGCGCAGTATTGAACATCGCATGCTCAGTATCGAATAGCGTATACCTAGTCCCAAAATTGTACAAAAATTTCTTACCACGATATCTCAAAAACGGTAAAACATCCAGCTCTGAACGCAATTTTAATCGGTTTCTGGTAGTCAATTTAGGTTATATACCGAACATGAGTTCTCAATTTTGGTGGGGCCATTCAGAAACTTATCCGTCAATTGCACCAAAGAATGGTTCAGAATACTGTCCAGATGTAAGTGCGGATGATTTAGTCGAAGACTCGGCTGGTATTTTATTGCCGGCCTGTTTTTGCAGATTAAAATAGCTGAAACTTTTGCCGGTGTTTCGAGATGCATCAGGAGGCAAGAAGCATCGATATAAATTTCGAAAGCGTGACCAACGACCGTGTCCTCGTAATCCTGCTGTACAATGACAGGTAATACCTTCTCCTTTCACAAGGACAAGAAAACGTGTAGTGTAACCGACCAGCATGTAACCAAGCTATGAAATGTGGCAATCGTACCCTCGACGAAGGTATTATGTTTCAAAGGATTTCATTTATCAGCGGGAGCATGATACTGTTGATACAGGGGGTAACGACCTATATCGCTGAGCACCGTTTGTGGATAAAAATTATCCTTTAAATTTATTTCTCTCTATTTTATTACACTTATTATCTTCTACGAGGAAGAGTACCTCGAACGTTCGCGTGCGAAATGTGAATGGATTGAAATCGGCTGTTTAAATCAACCACTTTGGCTAAAGGAAGATTAAGCTGGATTCCATTGGTAACGATACGAAGTATAAAATGCGCGTATTGCAATTGGAAGAGCGCCAAATTGTATCCCAGTTTCCCTCAGGAAATTGTTGAATCGTTACAACCCTCCGAGTGCCAAACGCACCGGACGATCGCTACACGCTAATTGAATGCACGTATTGGATCTGTGTCAGGCGAGTTGGAATTCTAAATAGAACTCTTACTTTTCAATGTATCTTTGATTTAACTTGTATCTTTATTCATAGAAATATTTCGAATAATATCGTTTCAACTTTGGTGAAATTAATCAGATCCAAAAAGACCAAGGTATCGTCCTGTAACTATTGAAATGAAATCGAATGAAATACGAGCAGCAATTAGAAACACGACTCTCGAAATCTCATCTTGATTCTCGATCTTGGCATCGGAGATAGGAACAAGGGGAGTGAAAAGGAAGGTAGAGGGAACAAATGGCAACACGATTCGCACACGTCTCTTGTCCCTCGGTTAAAATCTAACCGATCCCTGCAGATTGCCGCTTTTCCGGGGAGTCCAACACATCGATCATGTGCACGCCTAATAGCAGCACGTGTTGGTGATTACGCTCGAGGGACTGTGGCTAGATCGGGTCTAGGTAATTGCCTGAGCATCGAACCCCCACCGACCAGCTTCCGATCTCCATCCACCGTATCCAGCAAACCCCCGTACACACCAGAATCAGTCCGCGTGTAGGACCATCGATGGTACAGCCCTGCTACGTACGCGATTGATTGGTTAACATGTCTGGCTGGCCTTCAGTCTGGCCTTGATTATCTATCTCTCTACCCTGTCTGCAGCTTACTCACCTCAGTCCACTTTCTCTTACCCCTTTATCGCTCCCTACCCCTTCCATCGGCCGCGCCGTATTTTCAAATTGCAGTATTAAATCCCTCCTTCCGTCCGTTCATCCCTTGCCCGAAAAGCTGTCCTCTCAAGGTACGATGAAAATTGCAGGTTTCACGTGATACCACGTAATTGAACTCGATGCAACGTACCAAGAGTACTCCATCTTTTATTTCTGATTCATCTTTTTACCATCAATGCGTGGAAAATATTTCTTCTTCATTTTTTGTTTCCTCTTATGCTCGAATCATTACAGGTGGTCAAATATGCTTTCTTCTTTTCTTAAATACATTTTCTAAAGCTGCGCTGTCAGGTTTCTTTCATAAAAGATCAGTTCTGCGCTCGTCTACAGTTTAGTCCGCTTAGGTTTGGTTAGGCGAGGTGACTGAAAACGGTACGCAGAGACCCCTCGTGTATTTTATAAAGAAAGGAGGCGCGACATCCCGACAGTCTACCCCCTTACCGAGACGCGTTTTATTTTCGGCTCGCAAAGGGAAGCATTTTTGCACGCAGTCTGAACACGTAGGTAGGTATAGGTGTCTATTAAAGCACAAGAGTGACATAATACTCGCCACTTAAAAAGGGTTGCCGTGTGACCAGACAGCGAGAGGGTGTCTGGTGTCTCAAGAGCCCCACTCTATGGTGTATCATCCTCAAGCCCCCGGGGCTTTCCCTTACGCGTTGCGTTAAGACAAATGCCTACCCTTAAGCGTAAGCATATGTATGCACACGATACACGCCTGTTTCGTCACAAATACAGCTGCTTCGATACCTCATAATGCGACCTGCGTGCGTTAATTTAATCGGATTAGCAGGATTAATTAAACCGTCTAATTTTCATTATGGAATATGTTCTTCGCCCTTTTCTAAATCAAAATTGTTCTATATTTTCGCGTATCTCCAGGCCGAACAGATTAAATAACACGTTATCCGCGGAATAAAAAGGAAGCAAAGGTGCTCGCGTTTCAGACGCAGAACTTCCGTCGGATCTGCACCTGTAGGATGAAATTTAGCCGGCTTCCGGTTCCCCGTCCTCTCGAGACGTTTCATCCCGCAGATGAAAAGCGGCCGCGGATTACCTTTACAAAATACACGGGGATTCTGCGTTTCCGCGAAGGCGGCTTGATCCTTTCCCCTCGGCGTAGAATACAATTTTATGCCTCGCTTTTTGAAGAAAGAGGCCACCCACCAGACGAAGACTTGGATAAAGAAGGTGGAGGAACACGCGAGATATGGAAAGGGAAAAAGAAAGAAGGATAGAGCGAGCGGGGACGGAACGTCTGCTCCTTTCTGTAACGCGTGACCCTCCCTCGGAAACCTAACCAACCCCACGGTTACGTTGGACCACCTCGAAGGGTGTAAATGTACTGGCGGATAGATTCACAAATATGTGAGAGAGCCAGCGGTAAAGGGTGTTCCCGACGAAGGGAGACGGAAAAAGGGCGCGCCAGAAATTCCACGAAATTTAAACCTCCAGGCATCCATCACTATACGCGACAGCTAACTCTCACCCCTGTACACGTGCCAAATTGTACTGCTCTTTCCGAACCTACCCGTGTTTCGTCAAATATCTTTTAAATTGTACCATTCAAGAATAGAAAATTGTACGATTTCAAATATTTCATCCCTCAGACAAGGAGAATTTTTATTTAATTTTATACTTGCAGTATTCTCGTTACAATTTTGCGTCGAGAACTTTATCTAAAAATTATATTGTTCCGTTAATTATCCGTAACTCGTGTAACATCATAGGAACACAAAGTCATTATATGTTCCTCCATACACTATTTCGGGTGCACTAGAAAGTCTGTTGGTCAAACGCAAAACATACTATCATTGAACAAACGCTAATTTGAATTCGTTCACTGACTCGTTTCGAGTGTGTATACAGTGCTAGTTGCAGCTACCGAACGCAACAGGGGGCACAGTTTCAACTTGTCTGGTGAAAAGGTAACTCACTTTAAAGCAGAACAAACCAGGCTGCCGGTGTAGCACGGTTTCAGCGGCGAATTAAATCTGAAAGCCGTAAATTATAATCCGTCTGATTCTCGCGGACCGTGAACGGCCGCGTTTTTTCCATCGAGCTCCGAATTATCCGCCGCGCCGGTAAATAATACAAAAATTATAACGAACGTAGAGCCGCACTTTTGTCAGCAGAAGCATGCCGCCTCTTCGTTACGCTGAAAATACGTTCTCTGGTATTGTTCGAGCAACTCGACGACGGTAACCTTCGTTGTTGATGTGAATATTTTAAAACCGCCGGCTAGCGTGCATCCTGCATCGGCCGGTTTAATTAGAAGCGAACGTCCCTATTATTTCCATGCTCGTCGACACGCGACGTCAGCGGTTAACGTTGAAGCCGCGAACGTTTAAGTCCCCGTCAATGATTTATTTCCTTTTCCAATTTGCCACGACAATGCGGCTCTACGCTGCACTGTTTCCCTCGATGACGCTTTGTATGGCGAGCAGTTGCGGCAAATACGTTGCAAAAGAAGAGCACGAAAAGGGAAAAGAGAGAATTGGTGCATCGAAAACGAACGAACGGATTTGTCCCGATGTTCCTTTTTCAATTGGAAAATTGTAATTGTAGCAACGTTAAAAAAGTGAAAAAAGAATACACTTTGGAATTATACTTTCAATCTGCTTTCGTTTTTTAAAAATACTTAACCCTCTGATTTATTACTATATTAAACACGTTAATTAATTTCATTTTTACAGATAATAATTTTCACGTTAATTCAGGCATGTTTCGAATGTTCAGACTACGAGGACGTTTAAACGGTCCAAGTTAATGGACGTTCGATATATTTGTCAAATATTCATAGAGTTCATTTTTTAATTCACAGATGGATAGAAGTTGATAATATTTACTGAACGTGCTACGAAAATATGGGATATTCTTTTCGAGTTGCCGAGCGTTTGTTTTCGATGTTCCCTGAATATTCCGCGCGGTCGGTGCGTGCGAGCGTAAAAATACGCCACGATAACTGCGCCGCCTGATAACAGTCGCGAATGTTTCCCAACCTCTCGTAACCAAACTTTCGGCCACCCTCCGTCCGGCAATGACAACTAACCCCGACAAATTTCAAATTTAACAAGTTCCCGAGTAAACGAAACACACCTTCGCAGTTCATGCGTGCCTCCGCCGCCGAGCCGCTGGAAAATGTGACGCGTCCATCGTTCGTAAGCTCGCAAACGGTAACGGGAACACCACCAAAAGCCCATTGTTCGGCCTCGTTCATCGGCGTTCGCGTTGTAAATTTTTCATTTACCCCGTTTTTTTCGCGTCAATTTTTCGCTATCGCGGATATCTTTCCACGATGTAGCCGGATCCCACTCTATTGTCGTACGGTTGAATGAACTTTGGACGCGTTAGGTGTGAACAATGGGTATTCGGTAAAGAGCGGAAGAGATTGGGTGAATGGTTAGACGAGGGTATCGGTTTCGAAAGGGTGCATGGGGGCTGAGAATAAGTGCGCAGCTTTGGGCAAGGAACAAGGGTGGTCGATTAAACTTGCTTCAGTTAAAAAGTTACAATTTATACTATTCCGATGATAGGTTTGCTGAATACCCTCGTTATTAATCCTCGGACAGCGGATTATTGGGTCAATCGAGACCCAAACTTACAAAATATATACAAGGATATTAACTTAAAGTTAAATGTATAATTTTTGTACGAACAGTGTTTGGAAAATAATAATCATATGAAAAATCAAATTTAAATTAAAATTGAAGTTCTCTCCATGGTCCGCCGTCCGAGTATTAAGAAGTTTAGAAGCTTTTAGCCTTGATTCTACTGATCGATCAGGGATAGCAGAAAAACTTCATCGTCTCAGCATGCAAATCGAAGTACCTTGATCTGCATGAATACATGAAATTATGGAAATTTTCAGAGCATGTTACGCACCCCCTCAGTACGCAATACGAGTCCATACACCCAGTATCAAAGCAGGGTAGCTTAATCAATCTACGATCGAAGATAATGCAGTAAAAAGTAGAAGAATCTTATCAATCGAGAAGATAAAGACCATCACCTCTGCCCTTTTCACCGTGACAGTTATCTAATTAATTAATTTCAAAGATCATCAGCCATCAAACTTACAACGCTGTATCATGGATTTCAATGGAAACAGTTACACGAGTGCCACTGGTGGAAGCGTTTGTCAGAAATCAAGAAGATCAAACGATTCATTGGAAATGAATTCTCTCTGCTGCGATTCCACGCGAAATCAGCTGCAAAATTGTACCGAGCATCGGGAAGCGTGTCGGCAAAGTGGAAATCACGGGAAAATATGCGAACACGGGAAGGTTGAAAGTTGGCGGGGAAGTTTTTCCGACGGGAAAACGAGAAATTTCAACGAGAACAATATGTCGGAATACAGAGAGCAAGAGTCACGATATGATAATTACGGAAACGAGAACGACACAGCGGGATTCGATGTAAATGGGTCTAATGAACCCTGCGGCCGGTGCAAGAGCGGATTTAACGTTAACGTTGTTCTACATCAAGAATCGCCGACGAACCAGAAGATCAATATGGTGGAGCCGAAGTACAATGTTTCTTTTAAACGCTGCTGTGATGAGTAATTAATATTGCAGCTTTAATATCATTATCTCTTTTAAACCCCCCGTTTTCATTTCATATTTTTATAAGAACTAAATGAGAATCTTTTTATAACACAATATTATCTTTTATAATATGTATAATATTATAATATTTATCCTTTAGGAATAATAAAAAATGGGAGCAGAAACGAAGAAAACGCTCGAATCCCATCTCCCTAACCGGATCATTCTTTAACCTGAGTAAAATGAAGAAATGCAAGAAACAAGAAACGAACAGGTATTCCATAATTTATCATAAACATTGCCATTTCGTACACAAATACGCAACAATGGTTTCTGTCGAACGCAGAAGCAAAGGATCGTCTGTTCAGCAGAAGACAGATGGAAGCGACGAAAATAGCTCGAATTTCCGTTGCACTTTCGAGAATTGTTGCGGCAACTGTGAGTCTTACATCATGGAGATCCCTCAGGATAACCTGAACGCTTACCAAAACTGGCAGAACATGGAATTCGAGGGTGGCAACACGTGTTTCGACGAGTGTTGTTGTCCGCGCGAGATGAAGATGTACTCTTCGAATCTTAGCCTCGCTTCGTCCCCGCAACACGAACAGTGTTTCGTGTCTTACGCGGAAACTGAGAAATGTTGTTCCTTTCCAATCGAGGCTAAGTGTGAATTTCCATCCAACGAACCTAAGGAACCTAGCAAGCACTGTCTGCAACGAGTACACTTCGCCAAGGCGGACAATAATACGAGAACGAATCATTCGTCGTGCTCGTTCTGCTCCAGGAAGTGTACACCGTCTAAGGCGAGCTTATTCGTCGAGATCGGGGAGAGTATCGCGGACGTGTGCAATTTAAGATCCGCACAGGTGTTCCAGCTATGCATCGATTCGAAAGAATCGCTTAAAAACGAGCAGGAACGAAAGGAACAATTGTCTGCGAGGAAAAATATGTCTGACTCGTCGAGAGAACGTTATAAATCAAAGAAACAGCACGGGAAAAATGCAAAATGCAGTGTGAACTGCAAAGCTCTACCTGCTGCTGTGACGCGCAGTTATTCGGATCGAATTACATCCATGGAAAGGTTCGATAATCAGAGTGTAGAGGAAAGGACGGAGGGATCGCCTTGTGAGCAGACGATGAGAAACCTCAAGTCGAGTATCAGCTTCCAAGAATCACGTGATTGCAGGTAAATAGTAGTACACCCTGTAGATTTTAATTGTAATTGTAGAATAATGGAATTGGGATTGAGAAATGATTTTAGAAAATTCGGATCGAATTCGACTTGAGATTCAATTATATACAATGACATATGAAAATACTTTCAAACTTAAAATTTAAGTTATTTTGTGAGTCGACTTGAGTTTCGAGTGTCGAGTCGAATTAAGGTTCCGAAATTACGGGTACCCGAATCCTGGACGTCCAATTTGCCTCGACTCGATCATTACCCGATCCAATCCCATCCTAGGCTCAAATACCGAAATTAACAGAGCCGAATTTTTGGGTACCTCCACACCCCTAGTAATTTTGTTACCATTGATAGTATAGATCATCATAACTTTTTTAGCCAAAAATTGTACTTTCCAAATTAACGCATCAAATATTTCGTAGAGCGCAAACGGAAAGTAACATGTATATGAATAGAAAAACAGCAGACTGTAATCAACAATGCGAAGGAATCGACCATTCTGTATGGGAAGATATTCGAAAGGCAAAGATCTGGTCGCAACTACAGGACACTTATAAACATTTAGTAAAAATGGCAACGACAAGTATCTATCAGATTATGAAACAATCGAATAAATTAAGGAAGAAATACACGAAGGATCGTAGCAAAGATCGTGAGAAATGTGTTCCCTATATGGATCGATCAGAAACACCTAATGATTATTGGAATGGAACATTAATTGAATTGAATAATTGTGATGCCACTTACTGTGGAAACGTTTGCTGCTCCTTAAATGAAAATTTGAACAATGGATTGACAGAATGTGAACAATCATTGTATGAAAGTAAGTTTGTATCTTAACCCAATCGATACTGGGTCATTTTTACCTCCTCGAGGGTTACTCATCGTACTTTTCCAACCCTCATACTGCATACTTCGTGTCGATTTTGTTCTATCTATATTTTATTTATTTTTTACTCAAATATATTAGCGATCAAAGCTGAAACTTTGTATCAAACGTTATTTTGTTGTTTAGGATAAAAATCTGTAGCCACTGCTTGCAGTCACAAGAAGAGGGAGAAATTGCAGGGACACGAATGACACAGAGATGCAGTGTGAGGGTTAAGTTAACGTCTAATGGGGTGAAATAATCACGATGGTCACTGCACGTGAGATAATATATACCGGATGTTACTATTCAGTTATAAAGTGATAGTATTCGCGAGTGGTAGGTAATTGGTTAAATTTAAGTTCATCGATCCCCTGTACAGCGCAACGTTTACATTTTCAGCTTGCAAAGTCTGTCAAAACGGGCAAGAAGCGACTTCGTTAGAGTGTAGTTCTTGCTTCGGCGGTCCCTGTGATATTCAAGAGAACATGTATCCTTGTAACGAAGGATCTCCGACGTACCAGCTGCTACCCACGTGTGGTATTGTTCGCGAAAGAGGCGGCAGCGACGGACCCGGCGGTTCTAATCAAAGAAGGAAAGTTTCCAATCCGAATGCGAGCAGACGTCCAACTCAGAACGGGAGAGAACAGCCAGGTACGTCTGGCAACCGGAGAAGTACTAATCCTAGAAATCAGACTACCCGAAAGATGGGATCTCGTGCTCAGGAGAGAAATGAGATGCCAGGGTACGATCAAGGAACAGAATGTAACACCATGGTCATTGATATGAGCACCGTTCGCCTGATCGAACCCTGTGATCCTCCTTGCGTCACGGAAAGTGTGTCGTACCAGAAGAGCATAAGAGCCGTGAGACGTCGGGAAACCTATTCTGACGCGATCGTGGAAAGACCATCCAGTGATAGGCCCTTACCCGTGAAAGGTAAACATGTTCCAATGATCGAGGAAGCGCATTCCCCTGTGCAGCCCCTTCCATCTCCCAAAGAAGAAACAAAGAAACCGACGCGAACGAGTATGCTTACGCCTAAGAAACCAGATACGAGAAGTAACGCAGGTCAAAAGAGTAAAAGTGTTGCAGTGACAAGCCCCAAAGTCCCAAAACCTGAAGGTAATAACAGGAATGCATCAGTATCTAGCAACAAGAGAGACAGTACGCTGAAACAGAGACCAATAACAAAAGCAGCAGAAAAAGTCGACGCAAGATCGTCATTGACCGCCAAAAAAGTTCAATGTGAAATCATCAAGAACCTTCGAGTGACGTGTGGTAATAAAGACTCGAAGAAGCTGCTCGAACAATTGTGTTTGTGCAACCCGCAAGGAACACCAGTTGCTCCAGTTTTCTCAGAAGTGCAAGTTACGGAGGAAACGGGTAATGAAGTTGCATTGCCATCTCCAATAACGGCGGACGATGCACCGGAAAGTGCATCATTGGAAGAGGAAAGAGAAGAAACTATACCCATAGAAGAAGAGGAAAGTACACCCGTAGAAGAAACGTACGAAAGTATATCTGCGGAAGATAAAGAAGAAACTACGCACATAGAAGAAATAGAAGAAATTACACCCGTGGAGGAAGAAGAAGAAAGTACACCCGTGGAGGAAGAAGAAGAAAGTACACCCGTAGAAGAAGAAAAAGAAATTACATCCGTAGATGAAAAAGAGGAAAGTATTCCCGAGGAAGAAATAGAAGAAGAGACAACGGAGGACACGAAAGAAGTTCAGTCGACCGCCATAGACACGTATGCGGAAAAGTCGGAAGCAATCACCTCGATAACTCCGTTGACAGACGGCGCAGTCAATCTCCAAGACACGGCGGGTACTTCCAAACCGATGGAATTCTACAGGGAGTTCAAAGGAGGTCGAAACTACGTGAGCGTGCAGATGCAAACGTCTAGTACGATTCTGACGAAGATTTTGTCGGAGTTTCAAGTGGGCAACAAAAAGAGGCAGGTGCTGATGAATATCAAATTGCGAACGACTCTGGACGGAAGCAACGACGAAGATCAGCAACCAGAAACGGACGTCGCATCGGTACAAACGTTCAGCCTTACGTCTTGCTTCCGGCGTAACCAATCAACCGATGAATTCCGCTGAATATTCATCGGGCATGGTTACACCGGAGGCACCGATGGAAATTAATGGTCAGACAGAACGGTACGATGAAATTGAATATTCTATACAGGCTAGCAGCTCGAGGGGGCAGTCTATGACGCGCGAATCGTCACGTGTATCGATGCAGTATTATTATGTGGAACAAAAGAGATCTGCCGTCCGAGAAAGGGATCAGAGAGTTTCGATGGACCCGGCTATCGACGATGATAGGCACTTGTCGAATGATCGTGGTAATGGTGTATATTTTCATCAATTTAGAGATGATGATGATATAATAGGCTTTGTTCTTTGACTGTTTAGGCTCCCCTTGCAATAAATGTAGTGGTCCTTGTGGTAAAAAGAAGCTTGGATAATTTGCTTGATGGTGAGTGATTTTAATTATGCTAATTATAAGGCAATTTATCCCTTTTATCATGACTTTTGATTTATCTAATTCTTTCTTTTAAAATTCTTATTTTCTAAAGATTATTTTTCAAACAATGCAGTGAAACTCTAATCCTTGCATGTATATATAACAAGTTGCTGTGTTCATTATGCAAATGAAGCGACGTTGTAAATCTATCCAAGTTCATTACGTACACATGTCGTAATTTCTCCTAACCTTACAGCATAGATGTGTAAAATATGAACCTTAAATCAAAAGTGTAATTTTCGATATTTATAGCCCATCGTAATTTATAAATGTAACAGAGAATTACAGCGTAATAGACATTGATTAATATTTTGATACAAAGAGAAACATGGTTACCTAACAGTTCTTGAAAGGTAATTACCATAAAAACAATAATGTCTGATACAGTTTACTATTAACGTATTTATTCTAATTTTCAAATGCAATAGCTTTGGGACTTGAAATTACAAAAAATATAGATACATTAAATCACAATGAGTGAATACGATCTTCCCAAATCAAACAAAGTCCATATCGATCGCGAGATGGATGCGAAACCGAAGAAGAAAACCATGACTAAACCTAAACCTTTGATAACATCGGAAGTAGAATATAGTCAAGGACCGAGTTCCTCACCCAATACTTCTAACACAAAAGACACTGCAACAGAAGCATACGTCGAAACCGACAATATATACATAACCACGGAAATCTATTCGATGACGGACATCCCTTCGTCATTAACAGAGAATGAAAACTCTCAGCCGAAACCTGGAATGGTAGTCCCGGAATACTGTGGCGATAAATGCTTGGTTCTGCGCGCTTACAGGGACAAATCGATAAATACAGGTGGATGCGATAATGCCGGACCATGCCTGTCGTTGAATTGTATCTTTCCGCCGGAGAGGTTGAAAAGATCCAGTTGCTACAGAGGGGAAGTCCAAAAATATTGCATACCAGCGATGGGCACTTGCGTGAAGGTCAGATGGTCGACGTGCGAAGACTCTTGCACGGGTTTGGTCACCACTCAAATATGTCAAACGGATGGAGACTCTACAGCAATGCCGGAAGTTGAAGTGAAAGAAAAGCATAACGAAAAGCATAACGAAAAGCATAACGAAAAGCATAACGAAAAGCATAACGAAAAGAATAACGAAAAGCATAAACCAAGCATAACGAAGAACTTGATGACGATTCAAGAAGAAGAGTCAAAGACAGAGTCTGAAGAAATAGCTGAAGAATCAAGTACAGAAATTCAAAAAATTGATATGTCAGAAACAGCATCAGTGGCAACGATCGCATCTGAAACGTTATCCTATAAAGATGAAATGATCATGACTTCTTCAAAGCGGGACAAAATATCTCGTAAGAGTTCGTATAAATGGTCCCCGTGCAAAATCGAAATGGGAACGATAATAACGAGCCAGTCGACCACTTGGATGGACAGACCCAGAAGACGAAATGATTGCAGAGGGTTTTCCGCTTCGAGGGAAAGCTTCTGTCGTAGTTCGAGGATAAGCGATAGTTTTGTTTGCTGCGCGAGGCTCGTTCATCCATCGACGAATCACAGCATGGTACAATGCGATCTAATTAGAAACGATGCGAGAGTCAAGTATTCATCAATCGATCCATCGATTTCTTGCGAGTATTTCGAACGTTGCACTCCGTGCGTTCGTCATTTTGATAATAGAACCCACTCCGTTCAGTCGAATTCTGGTTGGAACGGATCGAACGAAATCTGCTCGATGGACTATTGGTCGTCGAAAAGTAACCCAACCTACGGCTCGATACAAGATTCGTTTATCCATCGTCCGTTGTACGGGGTAAATAATATCCAGAGATGTCCGATCGCTCGAAAACCTCTCGAGAATCGTAACAATATGTACAATCAGAATTACGTAAACTTGAACAAAGGATACTACAATGGATACGGAGGATATTGCGTGTGTAACGGTGGATACAACGTGCAGAACGTGAACGCGTTTTATGGACCGCCAAGAAATCAAATGGTTTATCACACACCTGTTAATTATTGTCAGGTTGCCAGCTCGTGGTACTGAAGGAGGATAGTCTAAGTACGAAACCATTAATTTGAAGACAACAATATTTGATAAGAGGAATTTGTGGATTATTAAGGGAATAGATAAAAATTGGGCGGCGGCGGGTACACGAAATTCGGGTATTAATTACCAGCCTCGGACGGAGCACTAGAAGTTCGTCCAGTATGTAAATTTCCCCGTAATTTCGGAACTCGAATTTGACTTGGGAGCCGACGCTGCATTTCGGGGATGATTTTTCAGACTTATCTTAATTTTTTTAATTTAAAGGGATGTAATTGAGTTTCGAAGAAATTTAGATCCCATCCCGGAAAAATTCCCATCCCGAGCTCCATTTGAATTTTTGAATACCCGCACATCCCTAATGAAAATGAGAATAAATTGTATAAAAATGTTCTACTTTGTTAAGAAGCATTTAAAAAATGTATAGCAAAGTTGGTGTAACAATCCAAGTTAAATTTAAATTACCTACTTCAACTTGAAGGGCGATTAAGAGGGCAAAGAATAAATTAACGAATAAATTAACCAGGAAGTTGAAGAAGAGGGAGGCTAATGTAGTGTCAGAGTTACATTTAGCATTCTATTCGTAGTGGGATATAATTTTCGAAAGCGTGACCGGGGAAACAAACTTTAACCGTTCTTCCCTTGGGCTTAAAAGTTCGACTAAACAAATTTCTTCCTGTAGGGGATGTCACGGCGTCATAAGTGGCTTTGGTGGTCAGCAACTGTGAGGAAGGAAAAGAACGTGGAAGTTTGTTGCAAAGTTCGCCGACGAGCAACGTAGCAGAAACTCGGTTGAAGCATCCGCTTGAAGCTAAAACCTGCATAGGACGCGTAATTATCGTCGGGGGCGGCTCGTTGTCATGTCTCGTAGTGTAATAAAAATTTTACGGAAATACAATTATCCTGCCGCATTACCAAACTTAACAAGCCACATTAAACCGTACTGCATGCATATGCATGAAATTTCGAAAATTTTCAAAGAATTTCCCTCTGCTATATCTTCATCCTAATAGAATAGATTAATTGAAATAAATTACATTCATTGGAATCAATTTTAATATGCATCGATCTGTCTAATCACCATGTAATTGTTTGTAAAGACTTGCAACTCTTGAAACTATGATTTTATTATTATCCCATTAACGTTAAAAAAAAAGAAACAAAAAAAAAACGAAAACACGTGGTAGAATTTTCTTTTCATTTAAATTAAATAAGTAATTACTTAAGAGTGTAATCAAACGAGTAAGATGTTAATGGGTTGAGGATACGAGTAATTAATTTTTAAATTTAAGCTCTCAATTTTCTACCTTGTATTATTAGTAACGGTATTCGATTTTTCTCTTTATTTTAAGGTGTCACTAATCGACATAAATTAATTATTTTTAATACCTTTACTGAAATTTACACACAGTTGTTATGGTACACATAGATAGCTAATTTTATAAAAATGTATTAAGATTAAGTACAAAGAACATGAGTAAGAAATTAAATATCGACATAGCTGTTCAAGTTGTATTACGAAGAGGTAAGAAGATCACAAAGCTGATGAATAACGTCTCTCCAGGAAACTCGACGACTCTTTAGAGTCAACGGCTAAAATCTCGGCACTGTACTGTTCAAGAATATTTGCTGGACGACAGGACATCCTCGGGCGAGCGAACTCGAGGAGCGATCCTAGTACCTTAAGTGGCTTTAATGGTCAGTGTCCATTGAGACGAAAATTTCGAGGAAGTTTGCGGCGAAGTTCGCCAGAAGCGGGCGTACAAGACACGCAACCTCGCTACGACCTGAGTGCCAAGTATCACTTAGGACACGCGAGTAATCCTGAAGAACATGCTTCCTTATACGACGTCCTCGTCACTGTTGTATACTCTGCCAACTTGAAACGAAGTTGAAACAACGTACAATGTTAGAGAATCGCGGAAACAGGATTCTCAAAGTTGAAATGAACGAACAGCTGATAACCGTGAAGATATCTTGAAGTCTAAAATTCTGAAACACAGAAGAACTTTATTAACGACCAATTAAAAATTGCTAATATTATTTATTAAACGCGTTTCGTAGTTAAAACTTTGATATCTAGAACTACATATTTTATAATACCTAATTTCTCTGAAGCTGTATTAATTTTGTTTCCAGTTAAACCGAAATTCATTAAGCAACAGAGCAATTATAAAAGCACTCATATTGGCCCATCAAATTTTGCGCCACGATAAAGTAAACTTATTAACGATTCATCGTAGTGAAGTTACACTCTGTTGCCGTTTAAATGTCAGGTAATATATTGAATATTTAGTTTGAAAGCGGCAGCGAGCGAACAATCCCCTGATTCAATATTTAATATCATAATGAGATCAAACTAACTCTCTCGTTTAATTGGTATCGATCAGAAATGATTGCGCAGCACGTTGCTCGAAAATGTATCAATATTTTATCAGCGCCGATAACGAACTAACCTGAATCGATTACGTAGACTGAAAATTTTCATCATGAAACTGTCGACCTGTTTAAATAGTACGTCTTATCGACCGCAATTGGTGCTCGGTGTTTCGAGACTGTCCTCATTGGAGTACCTTAAATTTCGGAATCCCGATCTGAACGAAGATCAAATATTGTCGAGGATAAAAGAGGAGGGACAGGATCCGCAAGAAATTCTTACCGAGCATCAAGAACAGATTTCTTGCGAGCAAAACCTAGCAGCTGTTCTCAAGAAACTCGATATTAGTTTTCGTATCACGAAAAGGTAAGAAGGGAATATTGAAAAAAAAGATTAAAGTTGATTGGAAAATTTAAAAATTTGGAATTTAAAATTGTCAACTGTAAAAATGGAAACTTATAATTTTTTAACTTTTCAAAGATCCGTCCGGAGAGTCGGCGACGCACGGTACTTGGCAATTAGCATTGACAATACTAACGCGTTCCGTGCCACGCGACTCGGTGTTGTTAGCTGCTATCTATTCACGCTATAACACGTACTCAATTGTCATTTCTTTGATTACAAAAATAATAGCATGGCCTGAGCAGGAAGTTCAACGAGTACCGAAAATGGTACATATAAGAGGGAACGTGCTAATCTAATTTCACTTGTTCAACATTTTCAGGATAGGAGACGCAACGAAATGCGTGAAATGGGCGGACTTGGTGATTCCCATCGGTGGAGATGGTACGTTCCTCCTGGCGTCTAAGTTGATTTCAGACAACAAAAAGCCAGTGCTCGGAATCAATCCCTTAGTATCGGACAAGAATACTTATTTCACGCTTCCTTATAAGTATACGACTAATATGGAGAGTATATTTGAGAAACTTCATTCAGGAGAATACGAATTATTGATGAGAAGTCGCATACGAACAGTAATGACTGGAGAAGGACTTTATTGTCGACCTTTTCACATACACGAAAAAGGCCGTACAAAAGGAGAGAAAAGAAGCCAGTAGGTGCATTATAGAAAAGTTATTCACTCTGATCCAAGCTTGTTCCTTCCTGTCGGAAATCAATATATGCATTTTTATTTGTTATTAGACGGATATGGTCGTTGTAGAGAAACAACATTGACATTTTGTTTCTTTATTTTCTTGTGCGTGCACTTACGATTAAAACAGCCTTTTCCAGGGAAAATGTTAATTCTCACCCTTTCCCAGGAGGGGATTTATTTTGTTTCTAAATCACTTTTAATATTAATATCGTTAAAATGAGGATTTTGAGAATTCCTGCTTCTCTTTTATCGCTATTTTCCCTAAAGAAGCCTTGCCTTCTCGCCAGTGTACTTTAATCTTCATATTTCGTGTACAGGGTGTTTCACCAGAAATCTAAACGTTTTGTTAAATATTATTTTTGAAAAAATGATGATGGAATAATTGTAACAATAATATTACAGCTTAACAGAGTTTTAGATTGAATGTAGTCTTCTAAGTTTTAAGTAAGCTATACGTATTACCGATTCTGTATTTTCATGAAGGCCGCAATGTATCTTCATTTCATGGCTGGTCCTCTCCCCCAAGTAGTTTCAAGTTATAGCTTCTGTACGCTACAACTTTGGCAGTCACAACTTGTAAATTATAACACCCGCGTAATTATGACTTGTGCAAAGAAATCGGAACTTCTTAATCATAATTCACTGATCCAATCTTAAATTCTCTTTACTAATTTGCCAATTCAAAAATCAATTAGCTATATTCATGTCAAGTGTAATTCACAGGTCTCTTATACGATCGAGAGGAAAGAAAATATCAGATGCTCTTCAGCCTCGTCGTAGAATTTTACCCTGGTTAGCTCTGAATGAAGTTAAGTTTCTGCAATTGTACAGTACCGAGCATAGTCGGCTTTCCCTGCTACTCGTGTTCCGGGATTCCGGGGTTCCTGGCCTTCTCCGTAGGCTCCCCTAGGTTCCTCCCAGGTTCCCACCTGTCCTCAGTGGCGGTCCCAGGGAAAGTGGGGATGTAGGGTGGGGGCGCACTGTACATAGGCTTATGCCTCCCCTCCATTTACGTATAAACGGGAGAATTTGAATTCATATTTCTTAATTATATATGTTATCGTTTTTCTAAATCCCTTTTATCATTAATATCATCAAAATTGAAGTTTTGAGAATTTCTGATTTCCTTATGGCCCTATTTCCCCAAGGAAATCAACTATGCTCGATACTGTACAAACAATGAGAATTTCTAACGTGTTGTAACTAACATTTTCAACGTTCAGGTGTTCATAGGAGAATTTTTGGCAGTCAGACCAATAACGCTACATCTACAAGTGGAAGATCAAGAAGGATACGTGTTTCGGTCGTCAGGCATATGCGTTTGCACAGGCACTGGTTCTCGATCCTGGTACAGATCCATGAACGTTAAACCAGCTGATACTGTTCAAAGCATCGTCGAGATGGCAACTGGTAAAAAATTAACCATCGAAGAAACTAATAAATTATTGTATAAATATCGTCAAAGTCTGCTGTATCCTGCAGGTATTAGCATTCTTATTAACCCTTTCACTCTTTCTATATTTCGGAAACCATCATTTCATATGAAAGGATGTAATAATTGACATCAATGAAATTTTCAGTCTGTCACTGATTTTTGCTTGAATATTTTCCAGAAGATCTACGAATGACGTACATGATACGCGAGATGTATCGTGCACCACGTTGCTGGAGAAACAAATGTTATCCGGATAGAGAAATGTGTAATAAAATAACGGTAAAATCGTATGGATTTGACGCTGGTCTGATAATAGACGGAAGTATTTCTTTGCCATTTAACGATGGCGCGAGTGCCTCTTTCGACATCAAACCTGAATACGCCCTGATGAATATCATTATGACCTAACACCTGATTGACACGCATTTATAAATTTCCTGCAAATTTTTCGTGTATATAAATTAAATTAAATTAATGAAATTTATACAAGTGATAGGGCCTCCTTTGCTTATGTCGTCGGAAATGTACAAATCTTGAAAAAATAAATAAATAATCTTCACAATTTCCTGACATAGAAATATCACAGTACGATGAACAAATGCGTATTTCTTCTACGAAAGATGAAAGAATCGAGGAAACTTTCTTTTTCCGCCGCAATCTTTCGGTCTGCCCGATTTCTTATTTATCTCTAATGGCAAAGGCGTAGGGCAAAGTAACAAATAATCGTGGCCGTTTGTTCCGAAAATGAAGGCAGTGTCCGCGGGGGAAGGTGGAAGATAGGAATGGGCCGGTTATTTCGCTAGCAAAGGGCAACCTGCTCTTTTTCGACAATAACGAGCAAGCTGAAATACCTTTCCACCTCCGTTTCCCCGTTTCCTTGCAAGGAGGCCAGCTACGTCCAGACTTCCATTAACCCCGTAATTTCGGTTTCGGCTGAACCGCAGACACCCCGACTTTCGAGATCAGGTGTTCATACAAGTTACTCGTGTACGAATAAACGTACTGCTGGGTATACTGGCTGGTTTACTTGCCTCCACTGGTCTAATACATGTTTAGTGGTTTAGTCTAGCAGACTAAAATAATTCTACCCTGTTGCAATTTTATCTTTCTTTTCTTAAGAAAATTACTCATAATAATTAACACGTTTATCGCTATTGAAAATAACAAATTTTTGAATATTATATTATGGAGTATAATTTCTACTTGTTTAAAACATACGAAGCAAAGAATTATCGTCTCATATGGGAAATTGTAGACGTCACGTACATGGTAAAGATTTAAAATTTATTTAGCAACGAGAATTCTAAATGAAAGGCAATTAAAGAGAATGAGAACCGTGTATACAAATTACTGTAGGTACCTTCTATTTCAGCTAAATGCACTGTTTTCATACTACTCGTAGCGCAAATTGTGGATGCTTGAGACAGAGTATGCTAAGTAAAGTACTCACTGTCAACGTTTCCGGAAAGAGGACGTAAAAGAGTTGAAATTTATAAATTCTTACTCGTCTTTAGTGAAATATCAAATGAAAATTCAATGAACGTCAGATAGTAGAAGATATTGAATTTTATGCTGACTAATTAGGGTAAATTCTCGATATCCAATGGAATCGTTAACTTGTTAAAATAACTTTCCAATCGACCATTTTGGAGACCAAGAACCAGTCTCATTAATCTGAACGAAAGACCCAATCCGTAAGAACAATGGAGATCCGCCCCAGACGAACTCATCGAGGACAAACAAACGTACGGCCAACCAAGAACAACGGACGACATCGACCTACCCTTTGTATTTCGTAATTGAACACGACTGTCTTTCCCGATAGAAGTTTTAGACACTTCCAATTGTACAAAGATTCTTGAAAAAGAAAAACGAACGTGAACATTTTGTTACAAGAGAAATTTGATGATCATCAAAAGTCTGCAATTATCGTCTTCCAAATTGAATGAATTATGATAATCAGATTGATTTATTTCAATTACTCTATTGTATGCTTTTCTAACACCTGTTACATCGACTGGTAAAATATAAAGGAGAAACAAGACTCAATTTTCACACATCTCGAATGTATATATTGTATTGTAACACTGAATGATATAATATTGAAAGTTTGTCGAAGCGCCGGTGAAAATTGTTTTAAAATGTACTCGGTGATCACCCTCATTCATTTCAGCGCCGCGTTAATGAACCGGTATCGTATCTCGAACATTTTCAGAACTTTCTGAGAGCTTTAATAACTGAAACGGAATTTAATAAAGCACAGTGCGAACGGTGTAATTGACATTTCGCATTCTATTTGCGTACGTCGCGTCGCCCGAACATTCGACTCAAATGAACTGTGCCCTCGGTAACGAAATTCTGCTGATTTCTCTCTCTCTCTCTCTCTCTCTCTCTCTTGTTTCGATCTTCCGTGTCTCTTTTTACTGGTTCAATGTATTCGACACAATTGTAAATTCAAACATTCGAATCATTTGGCGATTGCACACGATGCATATGAAAATCTCTGAATGAAATTATATCTAAATTCTAATATTCGATGAAATATCTTAGGAATATTCTCTGGATAGAGAACTATTCGCCATTCGTGGCACGTAAACTTCCAACAAATTTATTTTGTAATGGAAACTTCGTTGGAAAATGGAGCAGACGCGTTACGAGGAAGCTCGAATTACAATTTTATTTCCATTCTCGCGAGGAATCTGTCCTCGGTTGAATTTCCTCCGAGGCGAAAGGATCCTTTGAGGATGGTTAACGAACGTTCGAGACCACATAAATTCTTCAATGATAACCGTGCTACCCGTTTTCTCTTATCCGAAGATTTACTTCCTTCCCTTGCCAGACCGGTAATAGTGGTTCGCGAAATTTATTTGCGGATTCGTGGTGAAACGTTAATTCGAAAAGGTCGGAAGGGAACTGGAGGATCATTGAACGAGAGGCGGACGAAATAAAACGAACTCACCGACGAAACCGGGCGAGGGAAAATGAGAATGACAGAGTGAAAGAGAAACAAACAGAGATGGTAGAGAGGCGGAAACAAAAGAATCGCGTTGGAAAAGAGGGATGAAGATGAACATAGAGAAGGGAGAAAAAAATGGAAAGAACCGACGAGGATTTCGCTAATGTCATTTTTTTCCAGGGCAATGGAAATTCTTTCCTCTTTAGCGTTTTAATCCAGCTGCGTGCCTCTGTAATTTGATTCACTCTTGTTCCGCTTCGTCCTGTGAAGCTAGCTTCGGCTTTGCACCGAAAATTTGATGGCTACGGTAAGCCGGGGGATAAAGCGAAATTGGAGCCGTCGCTGTTGGCGAGAAACAAAGGATAAATGAATCTTGATACTTTGGATAGGCGTCTGGGTTCTTCCCTTACAATCTATCGATTCGTCTTCCCTCGAAATATTATTGTCAATAAGATGTTTCCCATAACTGTATTCATTATTCTTCAATTTTGCAGACACTTATAATTACATTATAATAAAAGATTATACCGCTGCTTTGCTTTGATCATAGATGAATATAGACATAGCATTTCTTTAGCGCAGGGGTAAAAGGGGGTGAGTAGTGGTAAATCGGGTAACCATAAGAATTTTTAACCGACACGATAGGAATACACCCGAGGTCCAACCGATTTACCACTACTGAATTTTTCTCCTTTTCCCTCCAATTTTAAGGGTTTCCTCCCCTAAAATCTTTGATAGTGGCACAACTCGAAAAACGTAAAATTTAAAGGATTTAAATTACATTTAAAAATCTAACAATAAGTACAGTTCTGATAATTTATTATTATAATTAAAAAGAAACTGATGGAATTACAAATATATCGTTTTACATGATAGAAGTAGAAACACAATATACACCTTCTATGCAATAAAAGCAAATTTGATACTTTTTGAGTTCTGCCACTATCAAAGCAAAACTGCGATACGATACCACTATGTTATCAGAGACATAGCCAAAAAATATCTGTTACAAAGGAAGACAAAAAGACGAACGATTCGAGGTAAACGAAAGAGGGCCGAGCCTCATCTCCCTTTCGCCTCGCCCAATGAATTTTCAAAGCAAATTGTCGGAACGAACGAACCACGGAACGATCGAAAGAGACCAGAGATATCATCCTCTGATCTTCCTTTTTATCACTCTCTCCCTCTTTCTTCCTCTGACAATCATGCAACTGGGTATACATTTTCTTCCTAACTCAACCGTCTCGTATTAGTTTCTCTCCCCCAGTTTTCGACAGGAGGAACTTTCGATCCGATCGAAGTAGAAACTCTTCATCCAGAGAAACCGGAGATTGTCGGGCAAATGAATTTGAAGTATTGCCATTTTACATTTCCACCTGTATCCGTTCCAAGACAATCCCTTTCTTCCCGATTTTCCATTATCTAACCGCGTTATTCGTCGATCAACCATCTTCCCTTTAAACGATTTCTTTCGACGTTTAGTTATTCTTTCCTTTCTCCTCGCGCTCTGTCTTCTTTGTTTTCTTTCATCCAATTTCCTGCTCCTCTTCCTACGATTCGATGTCCTCTTTTTAAGCTTTCATCTTTTGTCTCTCCCTTTGTTTCTGTTTCCGCTGCTCGTTTCTTTCTATCCCAAGCAGCTCGACCACTTTTCCCTTGCACAGATAATACAACCCCGTCGCACCTGAACTTCTACGATCGATTTACCTGGCTGCAATTTGCAAGTTCGACGAACGGAATCCGCCAAGACGACGCGACGGATCGAACAGAGTCGGAAATTACAATAAAACCGATAAAAGTTACGCGCTGTCTCGACGCCGGATGAAAATTAAAAGTATCGACAGACCATTTTCTTTTGCTATCTTGTGTCTGATAAAAATGTGGGAGGATGAGAAATAAAGTAAAAGTAGATAGTAAAGCGTATAGAGAACGATTCTGACGAAGCGGGTAGGTAGCCGTGGGTATTATGCCTGATCTATACTACTGATCCACTTATGGTCCGCTCAAGCTCCGCTGTCAGTTCAATTAACCCTCCATGGGCAAGCATATTTTTTCAGTTTCTGTAGACAACTTGGGTCATTTATGTCTGTGACTAATTGTTTTACTGTTCTTGACTGTCTAAAAATCTAAGGGCTTTATTTTAATATGTAATTGTTCCTTGAATTAAATATTTAAAGAATTATCTAATTATTAAAAATAAATATTCGGAAAAATTGCAATTTACTTCGAACCATAGACTCAGCTTGCCCAGTAAGGGTTAAATATTCTATTGCTTAAATTTTAAGCCTTTTATACCAGCCATCAGTATAAAATTTTCGCAATTTATTTAAAATTTATTATCATTCCCTAATATTGATAATTCTTATCAGTTCTCTATAGGTAAATCAATGGAAAGTAAATAGCGTCCTAAATAAAAGTTATGGCGTCGAAGAAAGAAGAAAGATCATCGTCGGCAATAATTTAACTACCTCCTCTGCTCTTATCTTTTTCAAGAAGTATCTCTTTCAAGTCCTTATCCTTTGACATCTTTTAATGGGAATTCTCAGCGAGCTCTGCGAGATGACTCAACTGACTGATAATATTATTGCAACTCGTGGAAGTGGAAAAACTTTTGATACACAATATGAAATGAATCGAGTTATTTCAAAGCAGGGGCAAAGACGGACGGGTCCTCCGCCAGAATGGTAACTGCTTATAAATTGATTTCTCGAGAACACTTGAACGCCATTCTCGTTTCCGTTATTACGTTCAAGTACCTTTTAGCCAACTTGCGCTTCTTTTACAGCAATTAGTTAAAAAACGGGTAAAGTCCGAATAATAAAACATAAACAGAGATCATAAGTCAATAATATAATAGGATATATACAAATGAACAAATTATTATTTAATAATTTTTAACGTCCAATATTCTGAATAATCGATGTACGTGAAAAAACATGTGAAAGAATTGCCACGTTTATGTTAGAGAATAAATGCATCGCAAATATCTTCTATATTCATTCTTTCATTACCCATGTCAAAGGGGTAATAACTCTTTTTTAATGGAGAAATTATCCAGCTATCAGGTTGGTAAAGGTAATTGAACTGAAGTGCGTTAAATGCGTGGAATGTTTGTCGAAACGAGGTATTTATAAAGAACTGTTCAAATATTGAAGTTGCGAAGTAAAAGCGCGAACACAGAAGGGCTTTGATTCTGGAAGGATAAAAATGGTCGTTCATCTGTTGATCGTACCTTTTCGATAATACACTGAAAGATTGCGAAAACAAAGAACGGCAGATATAAAAAACCTTACAACAACTACCTTTATACGTAATGTTTTATTATAACTTCAGAGTTATAAAAACTTTTGCTTTTAGATAGAATCTAAAAAAATTTACTTGAAAATTCTTATTATAATTGATCCAACGTGCTGATTATAGTTTCGAAAGCATTTTTAGCGATGCTATAGCTCCTGCTCACTAAATTACTCAACCTGCAAAAAATGACTTTTATTGACTTTTATTAATTTACTAAAATTCTGCGAAAGAAATTGAGTGCAGATAGGTCTCGATTAGTACGAGTAATAAATCCCAGAAATTGTTCGATTTATTTGAATTACTATTCGAATACTTGAAATATAGGAATTGGTTCTTAGTTAAAGAAAATATACGATAAAAATTTTGAAATGTACCTTTCATACGTATATTATTTAATTATAATAGCATAAACATGTTTATTATTTTTTAAAATATTTTAACAGTGTTGATTGCATTTTCTTCTACTTTTTCATATTTTCGTATATCTGATGATAAACCCGCAGTATTTTATCCAAGTCTCTGTTAGCTTGCATGCTTCGATCCATGTCTGGATCGAAAGAAGTCTCGCAAGCCTCGCATTAACTGAATTTTTGTTCGCATTAAATGCGAATATCGCACTATGTGAATTAACATTAATCGAGACTTACCTGTACTTAAAAACAGGTCGATAAATTAGATTCTAAATAAAAAATTTACCTTTTCTCGACGGGCGAACAAATATTCCTCGATGTCGTTACTCCAAAAGCATCGAAAACATCGAACATCGACCAAATGGCTAACAAACCAAGGAATATTTTTATTTCGTTTTGCATATTGATGATTTTCAAGCAGAACCAGAAATACGAGTATGATAATGAAATTCCATCAGATAGACATTATAAATTCCGTCGAAATGAATTTCCAGACGAAATCCGGCATTGAAATTTAACGTATAAACAATGAATATAGTCTTGGACGATTTTCAATTTTTACGTTTCATAATTTGATCGTACAAATTTTTATCTTGTTTCTAACCACATGAATATTTCCTGAATTGAAGTTTTTTTTTTGAATCGAAACAACTTTTGTTTCGGCGTACATACACGTTCGTTGCAATTTCAGTTCATTTCAGGAGGATTTCATTTAAATGAAATTTCTCGTTCGCCTGAAAACGCGAACGCGCATTCGAAAAAAAGGTAGCTCGTTTTTAACGACACGATATCGTTGCTCAGGAAACTTTTAAATATTGGGTATCAATTTTTATTAAACAGTAATACATCGTTTTAGTTGCGCAATCGGAAGCCCATTCGCAAATGTGTAAACACGCGTCAGCTATAAGCGTATGAATAGTTATGCAAAGTAAACACAGACTCCCATAAATGTGTAACACGTTCTGTACACCGTTCGATTCGAGTATTTCACTGATGCTGAACATCCACGATTACGCGGGTGCGTTGATTAAATAATTAGTTGTTATCGCGTTAAACTGCCGCAATTAGCTTACGGCTTAATGGATTTTGTAATCACTTCCTGTATTCAATTCACATTTTTCTCCTTCTGCTTATCATCACGAAAATGTATTATAATTCAAATTTAACGTACTAATAGAGTCTACTAAAATCATTCATTATTTTACAAAATCAACAATAGTCATAGAACATTGCCATAAATAATCTCGATACCGTTTGGAAATTCCTACGGGAAATATGAACCACTCGAATGAATTAAAAAAAAAGTGTTTTCATTCTGGCAGTTTCGCATCGTAAATATCAAAGTTTCGATATAAATAACGAACCGTTGCTGTTGCTAATTTAGATTCCCGATTGGATATAACTGATACCAAAGGCAAAGCATTTCAATCCGAGCTTCGCCGTAGATCAAGCCAGATTTTTTGGTGAATCAACAAAATATTCTTCGTGTCGTGTGATTCTTGTATTATAACCTGTGCGAGATCAAGATTAATAACTGTTACCCAACAGATTATATGATTTATTACGTAAACATATATTTAATGAGGTATTCATGTGTATTCCGTTTGCTGACTCAAAACGATTCATTCTTTCTCATTTAATCTACAATATGTACCGATCGTTGATTGCTGTTCATCACTGATCAATGTCATGGAAATATTAAGAACAGCCATTAAGCAGCCTTTATTTACGAGTTGATGTAAGCGGCACGAATCCAATCTCGGAAGTAGTCAGTCGAGGTGAATACCGTGTAAGAATGGTAATCACATCTATCGGCCTTCACTGGACTGACGCTGACTACACCTCGTATGTACCAAGTTTCATGTATTTTGAAGCACAAACCTCCTCCGCTGTCTCCTTCGCAGAGACTCGAGCCTGCCAATTAAACATAATAGCTTTATTGTGAAGAAAATTCTGACGATTAGATGGTACTGTGATAGACGAACGAAACTTAGTTATATAACATTTTATGTTTTTTAGTACGCGTTCGCGATGCTATATGCCGAATATTGTTTATAACCTGTTGACACCACCACGAAATCTACTTCCTTAAGACCAATTACCTATACGAACGTCACTTAACTGGTCGGAGAATCGAAGGATCCCGTTTACTCGCCCTCGTTTAGGCCAGCTAGGTAAATGTAGGAAAGGTGAAAGCATCCGTAAAAAATTGTAAACCGCTTGTCGTAAGTTTGCGGACAATACGAGTTCCAAAATAAACGTCCTGAATTTTAGAACCTTGTCCTTAGAAATTCTCTTTACTGTTTGGAAATTCCGAATCCTTGAATAGCAATTGCCTTAGGCCGCGTTCAGACTATGCAATAAAGTTGCACAACTTTCCGTGCAACTGAGGGTCTGAATTTCTGTGTTTCTGGCCGTGCCTGTACCAGGTATGTCGTCCGAAAAAGAAAATGGTTTTCTCTTGTAAAGATACAAGAAGACGGCATACCTGGTACGGCCAGAAACACAGAAGTTCTGACCCTTAGTTGCACGGAAAGTTGTACAACTTTATTGCATAGTCTGAACGCGGACTTACATGACAAACTATGACTCCGACCAGTTTAGGAGATTTCCTTGTAATTATGAATTATATTATCGAACGTGAACGATCGTACTTCTAAATTAGTATAATAAACGGTTGGTTATTCGGTCTTCTAGTTATTAATCTTTACCAGGTAGGCTGAGTCTATTGAACGGGATTAATTGCAATGTATTTGTTACCGTCGACAATAAAGCCCGTATGTTGATTGTATTTCTAAATTCGCGATGCTGCGAAACATTTTATAACACAAAAATATAAACGATGACGTTTCTAGCATTGGTATTACCCGGTACGATAATTCATAGTATTTGAAAGCCTGACCGTGACTAGTCAGTTCAGTCCGTTCGTTGCGAACACGTCAGAAAAATTCATTATATCAATTATTTCATTTCCTTGAATATCCTAGATTCGGTCTTCGTCGTCTACAATTTGTTTGAAAACTTTGGGTGCCACTGCACCTTCTAGTGACGTCATTGCATATAAAAATGAACGTCTTATTTTCAACTTACCATTCAAGCGTCCAGCACAAAATTTATCAGACGTGATGTATCCCCGAAAATCATAAGGTACTGCTGATAGGCACTGATCGTAGGGAACGAAGGGCATGTTCACCTCTTGGAGGGTCTCACTGGATGTATCTTTGATCGTTTTACCCCAACCAACAGACTGTAATTAAAGATGATGGTCATAAAAATAATCCATAGAAACAAAAGAAGTAAGAATTAGTCTGACGGCAGAATATTGAATATTACAGGAATGAATTAATTAGAAAAGTAGAACAGTGACGCGGTGTAACGGTGTACGAATTAATTACAGAAATATAATCCAGGCTGAGTTAATTAGCCGACGGAAAGCGACCGCAGAAGGAAACTAATAAAAAGCACGTAAATCCAGCGAGGAAGAAAGTACGACGGTTTGAAATTAATCAAACTGCATCAACTAGTTGGTCTGTTCTTTTCTTTAATTAATATTAAACGATTTTACCTTGCCGCTTTGACCCACTTGCAACTGCACCCGCTCGTACTCGCTGTCCCAGTCTATGCAAATCGGTCGCACCAGTGCGGTCAATTCAAAGGGAGTGATCAATTTGATCAAAGCTATATCTTGGGCGAAATTTGCTCTAGCTCCGATGTACCTTTCCGGTAACAAAATCTCTTTCACCATGGATTTTTGTGCGTACTGTTCATTGGCATCCCAATTACGATAATGCTTGCCGGCTGCTATTGCGTACTGGGATTTGTCGTTGACTTTATTGTACACCTCGTCGTAGAAACAATGAGCGGCTATTGAGAAAACGTTTATTTTCTTTCGTGTTCGGTTACAACGTGCATGGAGAGAAAATAGGTTTCGTTCGATACTTGCAAAGACATTGACACTGTTACAGTAAACTCTTAATAACTTTGCGCTCGATAACTGGCCCTCCAAATGCATTTTCGCTAATATTAATTGTCCTCAGCACACCGTTTTTTAGAGATGTTATTTTTTTAAACATTAAATTATTTTGGGAATATTCTCTAGTTATCTCTCCAGCGCAGTATTATAGATTAGTTTTGTAGTGGGAGCATTTGTTAAGTTTCCGTTTACCAGAAATTTCCGCCCCTACAACCCCGAGTGCGGAAAGTTATCAAGAGCCTACTGCACTATCAATATTATCTCTGAGAAATTATAAGTTTTCAAATTGGAATTATTATAAAATATAAACTAAAGAATAAATTACCTGATATAATTAGATTGTTGCTTATAAGAGTGCCTCCGCAAATTTGCTCATATTCATCTTTATCTTTGCTATAAATACCAACGTGCCATGGAAATATGCCTAATTTGGCTTCGAATCCATTCACGACCAAAGTATTACCATGTGAAACCGGTGTTCCACACTCTGGAGAAAAGAAAAACCGTGGCTTAATTTAAAAGAAGAATATTCAAGCTTTTCTCAGAAAATTTAGTTGGTTTGAATATTCAGACGGACGTGACAGAGTTTGACGGAACAAGGTACGAGAATCATGATTACCAGGAAGACAACGGAAGAGACGACGGTCCCATAATCCGTCTTCGAGACAAGTGACTGTGCGATAGCCTGGGTCATTCGTCACGGGCAATTTGTAGGACGATTTGCACGACAAAGTCGCCACTGTTCCAGGTCTAATTCGATCGCTGCAAGACACTTCGTTCCCTTGGTAAGTGCATAAAATATTCACCGTGTTGCTGTTCAATGAAGGACACGTTCCTAATGAAAATGGGACGAGATTTTACATAAATAAAAAGTAGAATCGGTGCAAGATTCGATGATGAATAAACAGAATTACAATCTTACACCAAGTGAAAAATGTATTTAAAAAATTTTTCGAAGGAGGATATAATAACTTTGTTGATAATAAAAAAATATTCAAAATCTGAAGCGACATCGAAGGAACTTACTGAGACAGGAAGGCAGATTGTACCACGCGTCGTTAACGCAAACGGAAACGGCGCTTCCGTTTAAAATGTAATTCGGTCTACAGGTGTAAGTCAGAATACTGTTCCTGGGAACTTTATCTCCTGAACGTTTGGGGCAAGGTTTACCGCAACCACCTAGTTCGTAACTTCCACCTTCAGGTTGTTCAGGAAGGGCGCAGCCGGTTTCGTTTTCCGCTTCTCTGCGATGTCCAGGATGGATAATGAACGGTGTAGCAATTAAACGGACGCAAATAAGGAAATAATTGAATTCATCACTGACAAAGCTTCTCTCGTCGATGAAATCTTTCTTTCCTTTAAAGTTCTCGAGGGATTTTTCATGGAAAGACTTCAACTCCGACCCAGCTTTGTCTTTCTTTGTAGCTGTTTTCTGTGCCTCTTTTTTTTTTTTTTAAATCAATTGCAGTAAATTAACTTACCGAACGCAGTCTAGCTCGTCGCTTGAATCGCGACAATCGAATTTGTTGTCGCACCTCATGGTACTCGGCAAACATTCGCCGTTTCTACAACGGAACTCGTTTTTCCTGTTTCCGGGACGACAACAGACGTTGATTACGTGTTTGAAGACGCTCTATTGAGAGTGTTCGTTCGATCGTCGCGTTTCATCTCGTACGTACTTGCCGAAGCAGAAATAACGTTGTTTCATTGGAAAATTAGTTTTAAATACGCTTTTAATCGCACCGGTTCTCGAACGATTCAAACAGATGATTCGTGATTACGTTCGTTCAAAGAGATTCTGAATAGAAGATTTTACGTTCTATTTATTATTTAAAAGCGACATCGAACGCAAATGAAATACGACATCGAACACATAGACAACATAAATTTTCCTTACTCAAAGAGTTATATTTAAACATATGCAAGGATATTAACCTAAAGTTAAATATATGATTTTTACATGAAAGAGTTTCATGTATTGGAAGAATAATTTTCAGAGGAACAGTGCAAAATTCAGAAAATGAAAATAGTATTAAATACAGTATTCAATTAGAATTGGGACTCTCTTCATGGTCCGCCATCGGAACGTTAACAATATACTATTTTTCCTTATTTTTATTTAACAAAATATCAACTCACTTGCAGTATACTTCATTGTCCCCTAGTTGTTGACTCGAATTCATGATTTCTTTTTCATCGATCAATTCTCCGGACCAAGAAGGTTTACCTCCAGGTTTCCCTTGACCTTTTCCTTGACTTTTTCCTGGAGGAGCATCACCGCTCAAACCTGGCGGAACCCTGCCGGATAATCCTGGAGGAATACCACCCGGTGGACCTCTGTGCTCGTTGTAATTCGTCTGTTCGTTGTAATTGTTGTTCACCGGACGTGCCCATGGTGGTTTCGGACTTCTTTTCACACCATGATCTGCCACTGATAAAATGAACAAAATTGCACTCGGAATCATTGATTATTATTGCCTAATATAATGGGTGCTATTGGTGCCGCGATTCTTCGGAAATTGGCTATTAAATAATTCTAAAGAAATTGTGTAATATTTCTATAAAAAAGAACTTCGATGTTTCCAACTCTGAATTTGATAATTCTACCAAAACTACGTTCCAGAAAACTGATTCTATCTGAAAAACACTATCAAACTTTCTTCTTGGTCCACAGTTCAGAACAATTGTTGAAGATTGAAATACTATTTGAAATAACAATGCTTTCATCTAAAAACTTGACGATTCTTGCTGAACAGCTCCTTAGAAAACTGATTCTGTCTCAAAGTAGAAACACTTTCCAACTTTCTTTATCGATAAGAGAAGACGGCATTTCAAAAGCTTGACCATCGATTCTTCAAACACTCCATACACCTTTCCAATAATCGAACTTCTTTCAATCTTTTCACCGGATTCGACGAGATGCTTAAGATGGTTGCATCCCAGAAACATTATATTACGAAGTTTCTTCAAAATCGAACCGAAAGTGAATTTCGCGATACGTTCATTTTAAGAAGAAACCTTTCACCTGGTGCACCCATTAAGCGCGGTGTTTTTCCGCGACTCGATGACGGACCGTCCGTGGAAATCGAGCATAATACAAGTTACTCACGCGATGCCGATAAAGTCAACAAAGAGAAGGCTAGAGTAAGTGCAACGAGCGTGTTCATAACTGCGCTAACACTGTGACAGCATAACGATCGTGGTTGATGGCCGACGAATGACTGACCGACCGAGAGGTAACGATCACGAAACCTGCAGCCAGTATTACCTGCGATTCCTTCTGAATCCTCTCCGAGAGCACAAAAATCTACCTGAATAACGACAAACCGGTTACTTCCACTTAGTACGAGCCATAGCTACAGAACAGAATATTCAACAGATGTTCGAAGGTTTCCTAGGGCTATTAATTATGCAGATGAATTGCCTACAAACACGGTTGAATAGTCAAATATCATAGTAAAAAATGGGATAAATCAGTGTTGGATATTTTTTGTAATTTGGCTGTTCTTTTTCAATTTCTGTTCAGCTTTTTCATAATACTTTTGTGTCATCAAATTGTTTTAGATTTTCTATGTATATAATATTATCGGTTTCATAAATTTGGTACCACAGTATGGAACATCGCCGAATATTTAAAAATGCGAATTGAATGACAATTTGCAAAACAAAAGAGAATTATATTTCATTTCGCGTGACGCGACGAGAGGAAAAAATATCGCGCAATTCATGAAACGTCGCAGCCAGATTTTAGTATTTTTGACGAGAGACATCGGTTGATTTTCACGTTTCGCTGTTGAAAATAAATATTCGGAAAATGAACGTAACGCTTCAGAAACACGATGGTAAACACATATACAAAGTGCCGGAAGGGTTACGAGAGCTTTGCACCGATATTTCCCGCGAGGTAAGCACACATTTCGAAGAAGTTTGCGGTCGTTCGAACTTCGGCTTAGTCATTACATAAATATTATGTTACAAATGATATATTTTATCGTGTAACCGAGATTCGAGCGATTTCTACGCGGCACGCTAAAGTAAAGGTTAATGACACCCTTTTCCAGCTTATATCTTGACATCTGGATCAGTTAAGATTTAATAATGTCGCTTTAATTTAACTTCGCAGGTATTTGAAAAATCTCTCTGACGTGAGAACGTTTTTCTACAGGCTAACAAATTCTCCTTTTTATATTTCATCGTAAAATGGTCGTTAAAAATCATTGAAACATAAATACAAATTGAATTTTGCATTTATACAAATTTTATTTATTTCATACCTGTTCTTTGATAAACGTATGAACTCGTGTTCAATTTTCATATATTTCAACGTCGTCGCTTCAGAGATCCCCGTATGAACTTTTATCAAATTCTGTAATAGCCTTATTACCTGTTATTACAGTAAAGTGAAACTTTATTTTACTGTACAGTGAGTAAAAATTTCACGAATTCGACGAATTAAATCCTCTTTTCTGCGAGTTTCTCCTGCTTTCTCTTACTTCACATTTCCAGAGTGACTTTAATACCTCTTATTAAAAGCATTGTTAATTAAATGTCAACCATCAGTTAACTCTAAATCGTATACTACTGGAGGAAAACGATGAGACTGTTTCCGCGGGAATTTTAACCAAACGTGAAGCTAATAAATCAAGTTCCTATGTTCGATTTAATCACTACATTTACATAATTGACTAATCGATTCTTCTTTAATTGAAAACAGGTTCTCCGCTCTCAGCCGGCCAACCTGTACCATTTCATCTCCGAATACGTGGACACGCTTCTGATCACGCGCGAAAACACGAAAAGTACATTTCACTGGTTAAATCTATCTTTTTCACCATCGATACCAAGTTTCCCTCTCGCATTCTTTATGTTTCGTTCACACTATAATTCATCTTTAAACTGCATTCAGTTTTCCTTTTATTTTCATATTTTCTGGAGCGTCGATAAACGATAAGAGCGTCGATCATAGCAATGATAATAGCTGCGAAAAAATATTTCTGGTTTGTTTATAGTAGAGCTCTGATAATAAGATGAAACCCACATTGCTTCACATTGCTATGATCGACGCTCTTATCGTTTATCGACACTCCAACATAAACATGTTATTATATGAAACGAAAAATTGTTGCATACTAGGAGGGGATGGGCACCCAAAAATTCGGCTCGGGCTCGGGTGGGTCAACGAAAATTTGTCCAACGCGTAAATTTGGTCATTTCGGGAGCCGATTTTTCGGGATCCCCCCAAATTAGACCCGATCATTATCCGATCTGACAGGATCCTTACCCGACCCGACCTGAAATGTCGGATATCTACACATCCCTAGTGCATATATTCTTGAACATACCTATAGTCTAAATCTTACTTTATTCATTTTTTATTTTTCACTTTTAACCGAATGACTGCCATTAAACCTTTGCTATCGTTTCAGTTGCGGTCAAAGTCGTAAACAATATTCTACTTGGAAGTGAAGCAATTCTCAGTATACTTTACCGGGCTGGTTTTACTTTGGAGCAGATCGCTGTCGCGGCTCCACGGATTCAAGTAAATTTCATTATCGCGTGCTAACACGATTATCGATGCCTGCTACGATACTTTTCTGTTGTCCCGCAGAGAGCGTTCCGCGAGTACTTGGACGCAGTTGACATGCACCCGGTGCAAATATGCGACGGTAAGGTAATTTTTACGAATCGTAAAAAGAGAATGCTCGGTAAACGTGATTAATTTAAGTGCGCTGCCTTCAAACGGATCGCTGTTTTAGGGGTAGCGTTGTAAAACGCGGGGGAATAAAGATTATAGGAAAATTACTCCATAAAGTTATTCTCGTTACGAGTGGAACTTTTTTCCTTTTAATATAAAAAGTAAAATATTGAAGGTACTAGTAACTTGGATTGCTTTAAATTATTACTTCTCCGTGTTTTTAATTTTCTCTGTATTGAAATATTGGTAATTGAACACTTGGTGGTGTTTTATATATCTTACGAAGCACAGATTACAGTCACGATGAAAAATCCCTGATGTCGATACAGAGCATCCTAGAGGCCACAGGAGCCACCCGAGAAGATGCAGAACGAGCTGCTACAGTGATACAAGTTAATATATGAAACGACGGTACAGGGTGTACTGGCTTTTTCCTGACAGAATGCGGCAATATATTCTGTGGATAAAGATAAGAGAAAATATTGTTACAAAGTTGCAGGCAAATATTGCACGTATGAAATAGGGAACAGCAGATTTTCCATCGAAGCATATAAAAGGTTGAGTGTGTTTGTTTGCTATCGTGCTTCCCATTTTACGGAAGTCGTCGGGACAAATTTTACTCCAATACAAACATTCCTGCACTAAATAATTTTGTTAAGAAAAAACCAAAGCACCCTATGTCCACTTACGATAAAATCGAGTTTTCTGAGACAAAATTTGGATTTCCTGGGTTCTGGCCCTTCCTGGGCCATAAGCATCCCTGGGAATAATGAAGATATAGGTAAGAGGCCTCATACATCAGGGTGTTCGACAGCAGATGGGAAATTTTTTAAGGGGTGATTCTAGGGATCAAAATAAGATAAAAATCAAGAATGACAAAATAGCATTTGCGACTTTGTTTTCCAGTAATTAACATTTAAAACTTCCAGTAAAACGCGCCTGAAACTTGCAATCTGCCCAGCACCAACGATTGAACGGCAGGTCAGCAAGGGTCGGTACAGTCATAACCAAGAATCATTGAATAGTAGAAACTTACCTCGTGCTATTCTGTTTCTCGGTACTGTAGCATTCGGCTTCCTCTTCTTGGTTATGACTGTATCCACCCCTGTTGACCTGATGTTCAGTTGTCGGTGCTGCGCAGGTTGCAGGTTTCAGGCGCTTTTTACTCAAAGTTTTAAACGTTAATTACTGGAAAACAAAGCCGTAAACGCTATTTCGTCATTCTTGATTTTCGTCTTATATTGAACCCTAGAATTACCCCTTAAAAAATTTCCCACCTGTTGTCGAACACTCTGTATATAAGTCTGTTGAGGACCATCAGCTGTCTATAAACGTTTTTAATATTAAAAATTTGGACATTACTGCTTTCCCTATTCTGCTACTTTTCCTAGGAAAGCTTGATTTGATCACGAATTTACTATCCACTATAACTACAGTAAATATTAATGCAAACTACTAAAATTAAATTAGGCTGCATTTCGCGGGCACTACGAAAGAATGGCACTGAACGAGGCTCAAGGAAAGGTTCAATGGCAAAGAGCAGTAACAAATACTTTGGACATTTTGAAAAAAGCTGGTGCGTCTCAAACAGAGATTTCAAAGGCCGTTGAACACTTGAAGGTAATTTACCTTCAGGCTAAATTAATTAGATGTTATTTGATTATGATCACGTATAATATCGACAGTTCGCTTATCGAGGATACTACACTCGAAGGAATCAAAGGCTCGATGCTCGTAAGATCCTGATTATGTGACTTGCTATAAATTCTCTATGAGTTCTAGAGATCTTGGTAAATTCAGTGATCTCGATATTCTCAGTGGGAATTGAGCAGGAACCTCTTAAGAAGGATGAACGGATACTGGAACCTGGAGAAGCCATTCAAGCGGTCGCTTGGATGGAAATGATGTACGAGGATTCCGGATTGACGGTGGAAAAGGCCAATGAGGCTGCTTGTGTTATTCAGGTAATGCATTATTTTTGAAATAAATATTATCATAATTCAAAACAATATTAGATTTAATTTTTACACGTTTCTTCTTCTTTTCATTTTCTTTATATTATGTAATTCATCATTTTCTTATTCATATTCTTGCCGTTAAAAATTATTGCGAGCGATATTATTTTCGATTCGAAAGAGAGCCTATAAAAAATATCGCGCAAGAAGACGTTGCTACGACGTGCAGAAGCTAGAATCGTCCAAGTCGTTGGTCGTGGAGGCGATCCTCGACAGTGTGCGACACATGGTTTTCGAAAGGGTTACATCACGTCAGGACATCCCAACGGAGTACGGCACTCAAGAGGAATTAATGATCGCTAGCACCAAGGTCCAGCTAACTATCAAACAACACCTAAGAAAAACGCGTTTCTCTAGAGAAAGTACATCGTCCAATTTGAATCGTTGCAGATGGAAAAATTAAAAACTAAACAATAAACTTCTTGTTAGGTTATTTGCAATCTACTGAAGAGGAGTATGAAGGGGAGCAATTATACGACGAAGAGGAAGAAGAATTTGAGGACGAAGGTGACTTAACACCTCCTGTTTGAAGGAATTTTAATAACACATGGATTGTGAACAAGACTTGGCTTCCGGGATGGAGTATCAGTATCTCAGTATCAGGTTGTCTCTCGCCCTGGTGAAGCAAACTATAATGTCTGCGAAACGTTGGTAACAAACTGTCAACCAACACGGTTCCATCCCGGAAGCCAAGTCTTGTTCAGAATCTAACCGCGGAAGCCTAAAAGACCTTAACACATGGATTTTTTATTGAAATTTGAAACAGAAAGGGGAGAGGGTGCAGTAGCAGAGCCCCAAAGCAAAGAACTAGAAGCGAAGGCAGGTGCTGATTATGTGGAAGAACAGACGGAAGAGAAAGACGATGCGAAGGAGCAAGCACCAGAAGCTGAAGTTACAGAACATGTGCATCCAAGTCCAGGATTAGAACAACCAGAAGAAGCAGAACTTAAAGAAGTGGAAAAAGAAGCTGAAGAAGGTAAGAAATAAAGTTAATCACTTCTGGTGCACATTTGTAAAATGAAATTTATCTCGTGTGAATCGATTATTAACGAAACTTATACAGTACACGAATTAAAAGAAACGGAGGATCAGGAAAAAGTGGCAGAAGTGACGGAAGTGGCGCAAGAGATGGAAGTAGCAAAAGAGACAGAAATGGCGGAAGAGAAGGAAGTGGCAGAAAAATCGGAAGTAGAGAAAGAGACGAAAGTGCCAGAAGAGACGGAAAAGACGGAAGTGGCGCAACAGACGGAAAAGGCGGAAGAGGCGGAAGAGCCAAATGTTGCCCAAGAGACCAAAGGTACCTCGGACGCGGGTGCAGAATGATATAAATGCCCTCATTTATTAACTTTATTAAAGCAATATACTTCCGAAATAAGTTTATTAACTTTATTAGCGTAATATACTTTAAAAAATAACTCTGCTGAAGTGCACCAGTGCACAGTTTTTTAAGCGACGAAATTGAACCTCCGTCGTACCCAATTTTATACGCCCTCTTTTCGCTTTCCCCGAAGCGAAAATGAAAATTAGAAGGAAAAGTGGCATGCTGGAAGATTTTAATGAAAATTTGAGAAACATATTGAGAAAAATTTGAGGCTATTTCAATTTACACTTCCTCTTTGAAGATACTTTTAATGATCTCAATTAAATTAGAAATTTTCTTACACCTTAACATTATAATTACCAGCGTTCAATGCAGACTGATTTCTAAATTGAAAATAAAACAGGAAGATAAATAGATAAAGAATTAGATAAACGAGCGTATACAATAATTCTTAATTTCAACAGAAGTCAACGTACATTTCAACAAAAGTATTTTAATAAATTCTTTGATTTGAAATAAAAAATCTGAAACGTGCCATTTTGACCCATTTAAAATTGATTGTTAAAATTTCAAAAATGTAGGAAATGGAACCAAGAACTATATATATAAAAAAGAACACACGAATTAAAAATACACAATTACAAAAATCGTAACAAATAAAAAACTTGCGAGGTAAAAAAATTGTTTGGATCTAAAATGTATGTCTCCAAGGTGTACCTTTCGGTGAACAACAAGTTCCTGTCTTTATCAAACGAGATTTTAAATTTTTCAAGTGACTGTGATCACCTTCTCTGAAAATTTGCCCGCAACCATGCCTACATGTTTTTCCTATTAACGTACGATTTTCTCGAAATCGATGTTCGTTATTATCTAAGCATTTTTCCCGTTGTTTTGCATTAATTTCGTCCAATTGACAGGTGGTTTCTGACGTGAACGATTTGTCGCATTCGTCTCTGGCCCGTTCATCACAGATTTCCGACCCGTCAGAATATTTCTTGATCTTGCACTTCCTGTTTGCTTTGTACTTCTCCACCAAGATGCACAAAGAATCCTTGTGGTGAATCGTTCCCACGCAATCGTCTAGCTCTTCGTCCTTCTGTTCCTGCATCCCTGACATTTTTCCCAATTGTTTGATGCAACAATCGTGGTTACAAATTGATCCATAAGTAACATGGTCCTGATTACAGCAATCTGTATGATTGTCCAAATTTGACGAACAGAGACAGGTATCAGAAGTGAGACGTGCCTTATCCTTTGTTGAGTAACTGTTGAAAGAAAATCTAATAAATATTATTTTCTTAACAAATTTCAAAATCCGTCTAGCAGCAGATGGATTATTTTCCACGAACCTGAGCTTTTCACAACAATGATGACAATGATTTTGAGAATAGCAGCAAGGACGATGATTCTGTAATCGACAGCAATCCGTATGCGACTTCAATGAATCTGGAATCGAATGCTTGACACAATGAAAATCACAGTTATGAGAAACGTTGTCCGATGGGTTGCCTTTTCGCGAATCGCAAACGTTTAATTTGGAACGCGAATTTCGATGCACCGACTTGGAATCCTTTCTCCCACCGCTGCAGCTGTACTCTTCCCGGTTGCAGTCTAAACGAAGCGAAATTATCGCGATAATTCACGCGGAGACTTGGTCGTGATTCAAGAACGCGAAGAATTTCAACTCACTCCGTTTCTCGGACGAGTTGCTACCTTTCACGTTGTCTGCCTCATCGTGGCCTCTGTCGTACAGAAGATTAACGGAATCCAATTTCGAGGAAGTTTCTTTCGGACTTCGTCTTCGTGAATGGGAATATGAAGTACGGCACCGGGTAGAATTTCTAGGCTCCGTTATGAAGCCTTTCATCGCTTTTCCATCATTGCTGAGGAATCAAGAATTAAAAGTTTGACAGGATTTCTGTGGATCGTTGGTAAAGGCTTTCGACATATTGGTTGAACGATGAATTTACGACAATTTTCTACCGTACTTTTCTGATTGTTCCGGTAAGAAACATTCATTTTTCCTCGCAATACCATTGTGCTCCTTGCTTGGAACGATATCAAGCGCATCCCCGCTGCTGCACTGTTCGTTGCGTTTGCGACAACAGCTGCAGATTATTGGTGTCTGAACTAAATTTTCCTTGATCGAGACGCTCTCTCCGCATTCGTCCGTCCAAATTGCCTCGGCACAGTTCGACTTGCCGTTCAAACATTTTCTCGATGTAAACGACAAATTTTCCGGATCGTTGGGCTCCTCGTTCTCAGCGATGCTTTCAGTCTGATTGTAATTGCGAGAAACAAAAAACTTGGATGAAATAACGTTCGAACTCGATTAACTTTTACATCGTACCTTCGAAGCAACGAAATCTATATACAGGGTGTTCGACAACAAGTCGACATCAAAATAAGACGAAAATCAAGAATACCGAAATAGCGTTTGCGGCTTTGTTTTCCAGTAATTAACGTTTAAAAATTCGAGTAAAAAGCGCCTGAAACCTACAACCTGCGCGGCACCGACAACTGAACGGCAGATTAGCAGGGGTCGGTACAGTCATAACCAAGAAGAGGAAGCCGTATGTACGAACAGAATGTACATACTATTCAATGATTCTTGGTTATGACTGTTTCCCACCCCTGCTGACCTGACGTTCAGTCGTCGGTGCTGGGCGGATTGCAGGTTTCAGGCGCTTTTTACTCGAACTTTTAAACGTTAATTACTGGAAAACAAAGTCGCAAACGCTATTTCGTCATTCTTGATTTTCATCTTATTTTGATCCCTAGAATCACCCCTTAAAAAATCTCCCACCTGTTGTCGAACACCCTGTATATGTACATTAAGGGATTGAGATGAAATCGATGGTGAAATTGGAATAATTGAATTTTTGAAATCATTACTTACTTCGTCAAACTTGGTCATTTCTTCGGAGTTACAACAGAGACCATAATTTTTCGGAAATTTACGTCTGGCACGGCGAAACGCAATTGCAGCTGCTACCAGCTGATGTGACGAAGAAGGACAAATCTCAGACATGATTCGATCATTTCCTTGATTTTACCAAATCCGATTCGTCATTGATAAATAAAATTGTTTAAGTTTGAATAATTGAAAATTGTTTAAGATTGTGGCAAAAGGATGAAATGAACGATGAAGTGAGTCACATTCTTCAGCAACTGATTCAAGAGGAAATGAATTCGAGTCTCGTATCGATACGAATAATTAAAAAAAAAAAGACTATAATAATAATTGTGATTTAACTCTTTATTTTATTTAAATGCTATTTTAACAAATTGGTATCTTTCAGCGTTTCAATGCAATCTACACAAATGAGATTTATTGAATCATTTCCAATTTCATCGACGCGGCGTTACGATAAGTACTCTATAAAAATTTATATTTCACCCGCAAAATCTGAACGTCTTCTTTTAATTACGTAACGTACAGGCATCGTTTTATGGTAGCCGATTCTATTACGGTCTTTAACACACACCATTCGCTTCATATAACGAAATGGCCAATTCCAGAAGCGTACAACTTCATCGGATTTGTATTAAGCAGAATTCCGTCCGGCATAAAAAAAAAGCCTGGGCCAATATTCGATCACCGCAGTTACCCTGTTCGAACGTTTAACGACTTTAATTAGAACGATGGCTGATTGCTAGCAAAAACAGTGTTGTTTTAACGACATCCACCTGCAGAAATCGATATACGCGAAACGAGCGTGTATTTAAAAGGATGGAAAAAATAAATATCGACAATGTTTATATTTAAAAGAATGAAAAAAATAAGCATTGATAATGTTTATATTTAAAAAAATATAAAGCTTTTAAATGTGATATAAAAGATGGTAAACACCAGGACATATTAATTACGATTAAATTAATTTATTCAAAAATTATGTTCCATCGAAAAATATATTCCTATAACTAAATCATAAAAATAATGATTTAACCTAAGGTAAAAGATTCCGCACATCAGTCGAAATTCAACAGAGCTTAAGCTTGATACCTTTTAATACACAGTGTTAAAAGTATCATACTGTATCGAGGATCGTTTCATGAAGACTCGTAAGGATACTGATTCTGTTCACTTAATCGTGAAATAAAAAACATTGTCGACTATAATAATTTACAGAAAGAAATCGCAGTGAACTTTCTTGTTGAAGGAACTCCGCAACTTTGATGGGATCCCGTAAAATCATTAGAAACAATTTATTCACGTTTCCATACAAAATCGCATACACCGTACGTAGATTGTTGACAAATAGATAACACACGGTACAAAGAATATGTGGATAACGAAACATGATATAAATAGACAGTATATGATAAGTTTGAGAAGAGACTAATTACATATTACAGATTCAAACGAAAGAAGTATACTCCTAGGTCCTCGTGTGTGCGTGAATACTAAAAAGCATTTCTTGGAACTAATCAGTATTGTACATATACATATATGCACTCGTGTCACAATGATTTATAGTCTCTTCCTTTCATTTTTTTTTTATAAATCATGACTCGACGCATTTTCGTCACACTAAACACGCATGCGGCGTGGTATTTATAAATTTATTACTATCCTACGCTATCTAAAGCTTTGCAAACATTCGCCATAAATAATTTGTAACATATACACAATTTTTACAGAACAGCGTCTTTTTGTAGCGATACACTCTCGTAACGAACAATTAAATTAATTATTAACCATCGCATGGAACAATTCGTTGAAGATAACATAATGCAATACCATCTATTTATATTTTTTACGTCTTTTGAAACCAACAATACAGTAGAACTTCATTCATCTGAACATGTCGAAAGACAAGATAGTTTGAATAATTAAAGTGTTTAGATAATAGATCACTGATTTTCTTCTCCATTAATGACTTGTATTTTCTTATATAGCAACTGTTAATAATAAGAATTCAACAGTACATTTAGTTAATCAGACAATCAGTGATATTTTATTTAGATAAATGAATTTTTACCATACATGGCATGACATTGGACGGATTGCATTAGCCATCTTTAAGGTACTAGTGTAAGACGTCCGTTCATAATATCATACATGAATGTATTTAATTCATCCACGGCGGACAGGAAGTCGGTGGCTGATATGTTTGAGAAATTGGCACCTGATAATGTTGCGCTGTTTGAGGAGGATGCTGCGATCGTTGCTGATGATGCGGCGGTGGTGGTGGTGGTGGATTGCAAATGGATTGCATCAATGGATGTGAATTATAAGGGGGAGGTTTTGTTGTATACGGTAGCATTTGATTATACTCGACATTCATTTGATGCTCCAATATCGCATTTTGTAGCGGCGAACGATTACCTTCAATGTGTCCTGAATAATTACGGAAACACTGTCATTAAATTACACACGCAGACCTAAGGTAAAGTATAATAATTAAATGTATGAAAAAAAGTTTGTTAAATTAATAGAAAAAGAAAACTATCTTTTAAAATTGAAAAATTCATCGATAGCAACCGCATAATTTTACTAATCTTTTCTGATGCATGTATTATAAACAACATAAATGTTGAGATCAATGAAATATTAAGTTTTTCAGTGAATCATATAGATTATATTTACAAATGTATACATGTAAACAATTATTTACATTGCCATTATTCAGTATGTATACCTCTGGGTCTAATTTGAGGTGGTGGCATATTAGTTGGAGGTAGAGTAGGACACATTCCTTGGTGGTCTCCGTCTCTTGGCATCGGTGGTGGTCTACCCCATGGAACTCTAACGTGGTGACTCTGCCATGGTGCCTGTGGTGGAAGAGGTGGAGGTAGAGGTGGTCCACCTCCTGGATGAATGTTCATCGAATCTCCCATTGCATTCTGCTCATTTCCTGTGATCCAAATATACAGGTAATAAATCTATACTGAATATCTATACGTATGATAATGTGTTTTAAGTATACCTGAACTCATGCCTGGAGGTTTTTGATCCATGTTGCGTTTTTCACCTAAATAATAGAAATAATGAAATGAAATAAAATATATTGGAAGATATGCAACAACTACATTAAAATGTATCACAGAATTAATATGGCGAATAACGTGATGAAATATTGTAGTAAAACGATCAACTTAAATGGTATTAGATTGTTATTAAAAATAAGAATAAAAATGCAAATGTATTATTTTTCCTTTGTATACAATTCAAAAGTTTCTGCAAATTTTTAAAATTATAAAAACTATTTCTATTGTTTAAAATATTATCATACTATTCAATTGTTACTGCTTTTTACTTTTCTTCTCAAGATGAATGTGTTGTGTAAACAAAAATTTATTTTAATCTGTAATATTATAGAATGATGTAACAATATTTCACGCCATTGACCATTTCTAACTAAAACAAGAAAATAAATACTGATTATAGAGCTACATTCATTAGAAAACATATAATACATTTTAATCCATGGCATCAGTTATGGTGTTACAGTTATCGTTCAGATTATTCAGCCTACATTTTCTACCTAGCTCGTGATCTGTAAAATAAAATTTATTATTAAGCACTTATTTGCATCTACAAAAACCGAGTTTCCAATTAAAGCCATCCTTGAGATCACACCAAAGTGGATTTACTATGAAATAAATAGTATTATGAAGTACAGATGATTTTTCAGCAAAATCCACACCATTGATTCTGAAAATTGTGTACAGACAAAAAGAACAGGATTAAATAATTTTTAAATTGATACTTATTAATGTTGATACAGTAATCCATGTATTCGCATGCTCCGCTTTGTCCGAAGTAATACAACCTTAACAATTCAGCTCGTTAAACTTAAAATACTTATATTAAAATATATGTATAATGCATTTCAACATAACGCGAATGATAATAATCATAGTTAATACTTGTTAAAAGTAATCACTGAAATGTAAAATCACTTTGTTGCATAGAGATCTGAAAACGCATATACTTGGATGAAAACCATATGAAAAAGCATTTAAATTAAGATGCTTAAGTTAATTTAATTATTATAATGGTATAATATAATAGAGCGAAACTTTTGTTAATTCTAAATAATAACAAACAAAGACAAATAGAAAGCAATCTATTATCATGATATCGTAAATGGCTGTAGACAATCCTGTCGTCCATCTGCAAAATATTTGTACAAGTACCTATTTTGTGAAAGCAGATCGCTAAATATATGGCAATTAAGAGTAAGACAAAATTTATACTGTTTAGTAAAAAATGTATTTTTACAATAAGTAATATACTACAGGCTAAGAGTATTGAGAAACAATGCTAGATACCCATCTGAAATGAAAATGCAAAAATAAATTAAACGTGAAAATATGAGTTGTTACTTAATTTTGTACATTTAATTTAATAGTCATCACATGTGTGTTAATTTTCAAAAGGTATCCAGCACTCTTTCAACTTGAATACTCTTAGTTACAGACCTGGATGTGGAGGTGGCATTAGCAGCTTGTTTCGATCTCCATGCGGTAGACCCGTAGCTGTTGGTGATGGACCGTGTAAGACTTGTTGCTGTCGATCACCTTCTCTGCTTAAACAATTCAGTTTCAAATTATTAACGCACAATCTATGGTTATAAATAAACATTTCAAAACTTAAGCAAATATCACCTGATGCACTGCCATGGATACTTCTGAAATGTTAAAAATACCTGATATTTTCAGGTCATAGTTAATCATACCAAACTTAATGTGAAATGTATTTTATTTCTATATGACACAGAATATTATTATAATTATTCCCAATTGGTTTACATATAATCTGTAAGGTAGCATTATCATTAACTAGCACTAAAAGCTTGGATCACATATGTATATCTTCCACTGAAATATCACTACTGAGAATAGAGCTATTATTTCATTTGTGATACATATGAAAAAGAAATTTATTTTAGGAAAGTCACATACATAAATAAACTCTTTTATCAACATAATATTCTGTGAAAAGATTCAGTATATTCATAATCAACCACTTTAAACGTCCCGATTACTTGGATGTACGTTTATACAAATTCTACATCTTATCGCAAGTAAAACAGTTATTTAAAGATAATTTTGATTGTGAATATGTAGCTTATAAGAATAAATCAATACACCTTACTCTATGAATGATTTTAACTTTTCATAATAAATTTACGATCAGGAAATAAGTAAATCATTTTCCTTCTTATTTACTGAGATTGGTACATCTTAACTAAAACAGGTTTCTGGAAAGAATTTAATATGTCGCAATATATATGTTCAAGCTCACTATAAAGTAAACTAATTTCATTTAACTTCAATCTTCATGTCTAAACAATTATTTATAAAGCAGTTTTTATAGATAAGAGACTCCCAACACTGTTAATGGTACTATAGAAAATGGTTTAAAGCATTAAAAAATTATGTTCCAATATAACACTGTTTTTCAGTTTTGAATTTAATAAAATATTATAGTAATTTAAATTATTATATAAAAAAAGTAAGCACGGTTATATTGTGTTTTAAATACATATTTAAATATGTAATTAAAATCCATTAAACCTGCTTTATTCACGCATCAAAGTTTAATCTTCTCGTATATTTCAAGAAAACTACACTGTGTACACATAAATATAACAATTATATAAAACTAAGTAAAGAAAAATTTAATCACTTCACTTACCCTGTTCCGTGACGTTGAGCAGGTAGGGGAACACATTGATACGGCGATGCTTCCTGTTTTTTTTTTTGTGTGAAAGAATACATTTAAATTTTTAAGATTTTACACAAGAACAAATTAATTTATTTAAATAGCAATAAATTCGAGGAACTAACCGGATTAGTTTCAACATCTGAAAATCTTCTCTTTACCCCGTGAGATTTCTGTTCCGGTGAATCAGGTTTTTGCTCAAACTGTTGAGGTGGTGGTTGAACTGTATAATGCAATTGTGGCGGGACATGCCCATTCTGATACTGCATATGCTGAGCATGGTACTGTATCTGTGCTTGCACTTGAGGTGGAGGTACATTGTGTAAAGGTATATTTGCAGGTGGCATTTGAACCTGTGAAATACAAATTTTACATATTTATTAACGTATATTGTACCTAATTAAAATGTGCGTTGTAGATACCGTTACGTCACCTGCAATTGACCCTGCGACTGTAACATTTGCTGCGGTTGTTGCGCTTGATACAACCATGGAGCATTTTGCGGAGGAGGTGCTTGCGTTGGTGGCGGAATACTAGTAAGAATATTCATTGAATTTGGCATTTGAGCAGCTGATGGTGGTGGTGGTACAATTTGCGGAGGTGGTACTGGTTGGGGATGTGGTCCTTGATCCACTGGTCCTTCCTGCTGATGTTGAATTTCACCTCCAGGAGGAAGAGGATGTTGTTGAGGATGTTGGGGTGATTGAGCATTAGGGACTAAGAAAGTTTGGGTAGTCGGAGGTGGTACTTGTAAATGAAATTGAGGCGCATGACCCTCGAATTGTGGAGGTAACATATGTTGTGCCACAGCCTGAGATTGTTCATGATTTTGTTGTAACTGTGGTGGAACAATATGCTCTCCTGGTTGCAATACAAACTGTGTTTGCGACTGTGATACAGGTGCTTGCACTTGTTGATACTGTATTTGATAAGTTTGTGGTACTGGGGGTGGTGGTTGATTTGGAGGAAAATTTGGTGGCGGAAAATGCAGATGCAATAGTGGCGGAGGCGGTTGTTGTGTTAGATTAATTGGAGCCTGTGGGGGTGGTTGTTGTAAATTCACGTTTACAGCTTCGATTATTCCTTGCGATGGTGTAGAAGGCCTTTGTACATTCGGTTGAGTATAAACGTAAGAAACTGCACCACTGACTGGCGCACTGCTACTTGTAATGAAATTTTGTTGAGCCGGATTTTGAGGCGGTGGCTGACTCATCACGTACATTTGAGTCACAGGCTGAGGTGATGCTTGTGATCCCGGTTGAATTCCTTGAATCTGTAGTGGTTGTCCGGGATGAATTTGGTATTGAACTTGACTTACTGTTGATGGAGGACCGATTAATTGTACTTGTCCAACTGGTGGAGGTGGCATAAATGTCTGTATCTCCTTTTATATAAAACATCGAATTAGAACAAAAATAATTTCAATTGCTATGGTTATTGAATACACTTTTTAAATTTAAATATTACTTGAGTTTGTGGTGGTGGTACTAATGGTCCAGAATGAGGAGGAATGTGTACTCCAGGTGGAGGAACTGTTATACCAGATCCTGGTGCACCAGCTACTGTAGCAGTGAGAATTGTTGCTGGTAATGTTACTACACTACTTTGCGGATGTTGTATAATATCTGTTAAGAATGGTTTATAATGATTAGAAAAAGAATTTTTAGTTGCTATTAACTATACATTCTACCTTGATGTTGTATAGTAACAACATTAGGTTGTCCCAAGGTACCTATATTCATAGTTTGGAACTGTGCTATAAAGAAATGAAAATGATTATGAATAAAAAATTATGATCCCAATATATTTATATAAGTATAGTTCTTACTTTGTTGTATTTGCGATTGCTCGATAACTTGCTGAGATTGTACCGGAGGTGGTTGTTGCTGTATGTATGACTGTAATTCAGATTGCATTGTTTGAATTAAATTAACTGCTAATTGCTTTGCATTTTGTAATGCTTCTGGCTTTGGATGCCTATATAATCAAAACATACAATATATTTTATCAGTACAAACAGAAAATTTGTATTTTAAAAAAATATGAACAAACGATCTTACTCTATATACAAATGCAGAGGTTCTGGAGATTCAGTGCCTAAAACAGGATCAATAAACTGTGATCCTCTACCTCTCAAAGTTACATTTGCACCTGTTTCACCCCTAATATATAATAAATTTGCACCCCCTGCACCTATAATTCTACCTCGTAAGTCAAACCCCTCTGGGGCATTTTCTATTCCAACACAAATTTTTTCCTGTCAAAATTATGTACATATATTGGTAAAGAAAAGTATAAATTGCAGATATATTGGTTAGCATTAGGGGTGTACAGGTATCCGAAAATTCGGACAGGGCTCGGGTTGGAAATTTTTTTCGGGGTACCCCTCAATTACCCTACCGACCCCAATCGAACCGAGACTCAGTACCCAAATTTTCAGGTACCCGCGCACTCATAGTTAGCATACGTTATATAAAAATATTACATACTACGGATGTAACTCCGGAATGTAAACTCATAAGAGGTGGTGGTGCATTAGTAAATCTACTTGGCCTATTTAAAGAGCTCTGGTGTTCAGTTTTAATAATTTCATTAATTTTTTGTATAGCCACTGCAAAAAAAGAAATGTTTCTGAAATATATTTCTAAGTTTTACAAAGATTGTAAAAAAAGTAACATACAGTCCACATTATGTTTTGTATGTCCCTGTATATAAAGATACAAAGGACGTTCACTAGGACAACGTAATTTTTCTTGTTCTGTCATAAAACGTCCACGTGTTGAAACAGTAGCACCTAAAGATGTTTGAGAAGTATTAGGTATGAATTATATATTAGATATTAGACATAGAACACATAGTTAAATAACAAGAATAGACCTGAATAGGAATTAATTTCATCCTGTATGTAACCCTTTGTAAGCAATGTGCGGGCACTAGGTGGTATTTCATTAATTTCAAACTCTGATGTATATGTCTCCCCATTTTTAAAGGTTGCATTTGAAGCTGTCAGCTGTACATTTAAAAAAATGTATTAGTTTAACAATAATCTAAACTAATATGAAAATCATTTTACAGCCTACCTTATTGTTTGAATCTGATCCTCTTAATTTTCCTTTAGCCATAGAGATGAAATATATACAGCCTTGTCAAAAATCTTTTTGCTCATAACGTCAAAACATGCATATAGACAACACCATTTAAATGTCTTATCACTATATTAAAAGAAATGAACCAATAAATATAACATTTCTGTTATAGTATTACAGTTTCTACGAATATAAATCACGTATATTGTAAAAAACCGAGGTTCTAGCTAATACCAATAAATCTCCAATTAAGCGCCAATGAATTAAACTGTATTGTTATATATACTTAATCATTTGATAAAAACTAACTGCAATTTATAATTTCATGATAAATATTTACTTAAAACAGTTATTACTGAATTAATTTCGAAGTAGTTTCATAAAAATATTAACCAATACTACAAATCATTCACTACCATTCTTTCAGTATGTATGTATGTAACCAGGCCCTCCAAACTCTCGTATTTCATGCTGTAACGAAAATTAGTATTTGCGGTGAAACTCCAGACGGCGTTGATGTCGTTACGAACACATATAAATGATATCGGTGAGATACACACCCACACAAGCACATGGTCCTTATATACATATATACATATATGCGTGTGCATAGTCTTGCTTATTCAAACTTTGAAAACTAAAAATAATGAAAGGGGAAAAATTACAACAATATATGTATAATAAAGGGGATATAACGCATGTTGATGGTAATAGCAGATTGCTTCGATATCAAATACTACACCCATTACCCATTGTCAGTTAATGTCTTGAGCTCAGCCTTGCCATATTACAGTAACAAAAGGAGCAGCAAGGAGAGGTTGATCAGTGACTACAGATAGTCACTGGTAGTCACTACTGGTCACTACCATTGTCGCTCACATGTGTCGGTTGTGTGCTGAACATATTTTCATTTATTTATTGTGAATATTTATTAATTTATTAATAAAAATGATTATTTCAACGAACGAAGGTAATCCAAACGCGTTAAAATTAATAATAGCAGCTAAAATGGCCCAACAGTCTGTTACCATTAAGACGGTACAGCCTAAAGGTAAAACACTTAACCTTTCCAAGTGGAGAACTTCCACTTCAATAATTATTCATAAACTTTATTACATTTCTTAAACTATTTCAATGTACTTTGTTTCTTATTCTATACATAGTAAGTTTCTTGGGTCGTTTACCTGCTGTTGAACTACCATCTGGATTAGTGTTATTTAGCACTAGTGCAGCAATGCAACTATTAGTACCTCCACCTAAAGAATCAAATGCTCTGAATAATAAGTGGTTGGAATGGGATATTTCTAAGTTACAGGTAAACAATTATAAATTATGCAAATTTGTTATATTTCAATTAATTGAAATTTATAAATGTTATATAGCCAGCTATAGTGCTTTATAGTAATACAGGAAGTTATAAAACAGCAAGTAAATTATGCTTATGGTCTTTGTTGGAAGAACTCAACAGAGAATTAAAGGAGAAAAAGTACTTAAATAAGGTAATTTGTAATAAAATACATAGAAATATCAATATAACATTAACACGTTCCGTGCTGGACAAATTTCTGTACACGTTACACCCCACGCGGCACGGAACGTGTTAAGATTTACTTATGATTTTTCTATGAATATTTTAGGATCATAATGATTTGTCATTGGCAGATACCTGTATTTGGGTAACTGTATGGTCTACTGTGTTAGTTACAGACATTGGGAAAGAATTATGTAAAGAATATTTATTTCTTAAAGATTGGTTAGCCAATATTGAATTACTGCCAATTATTCAGGTAAAACAGTTGTTCGTTATCTTTTTTATACATGATATTTACATTGATTTTTCAATTAATACAGTTTTTTGGGTGTTTAGGATTCTATTAAGGAATATAAATTTGAAAGAGGTTTGAGAGCAATTGTCAGTATTCAAGCTGCATCCTGGTTTCCTGTTATTAGTTCCCTAAATTCACCAGCTAATAAAGCACAACCAAGTGATGTAAGTTCATCAAAACTTTAATCATAATATTAAGCAATTTAATCATATAAACAAATAACTTAACAGATAAGCCCAACTAAAGAGAAAGAATTAGAAGCAGTTAGCCAAGAAGAGATGCAAAATATTGCAAGTAATTGGTCTTCTAAGTCATATCCAGATGTGAAAAATTCTCCTTACCCTGTGTAAGCTTAAATGTACATAAATGTTTTTATTTAAATACAAGTAATAAATATGTAATTAATATAAATATATTTATATTACATTCAGATTACCAAAGAAAGGGGAAAGAAATATTTTAATAACATCTGCATTACCTTATGTTAACAATGTTCCTCATTTAGGAAATATTATTGGTTGTGTACTTTCTGCTGATATTTTTGCCAGGTTTGTATCTTAATGTGGATTATCATAATCTAAACATAAACGTTTTAAATTATATGTTTTGTTTACAGATATTGTAGACAAAGAAATTATAATACCCTTTTCATTAGGTATGCACATGTTTTATATATGTTGTATATTAAATTCCAGGTGTTATGTATTAAATAACTTTGATTTAATATTTCAGTGGAACTGATGAATATGGTACTGCTACAGAAGCTAAAGCTTTGGAAGAAAAGACAACACCACAAGCTATTTGCGACAAATTTTTCGATATACATAATGACATTTATAGATGGTTTAGCATAGGGTTTGATTATTTTGGTCGCACTACAACGCCTGAACAAACAGAGTAAGATGGATCTCGTACTAGCCGCATTATAGAATGTAATTTTTTGAGGTTTTATTATTTTAGAGTTGTAGGTCGAATTAGTTTTTAGTCATTTTTCTTATGTTACTATCGCAGTAAAATAAGCAAATTTGTGATATTATAAAAGTATAATATATTATCTTTCAGAATCGTGCAATCATTTTTCTTAAGAATAAAATCGCAAGGGTATATATTGAGTGAAATAGTAGATCAACTTCTCTGCGAGTCGTGCAATAGATTTTTAGCAGATAGATTTGTAGAAGGAACGTGTCCACGGTGTAAATACGAAGATGCACGTGGTGATCAATGCGATGGATGCGGTCATTTAGTGAATGCGACAGATTTAATATCTCCCCGGTGTAAAGTATGCAGTAATAGACCCATTGTTAAGAAATCGGAACAGTTCTTTTTAGATTTACCTAAGGTAAATATCTTTATTTTATGTTAAATTGTCATGTTAAATTTATTAAATGTGAATGAATAAAATATTATCTGTTACAGTTAGAGAGTAAATTAAAAGAATGGTCCCCCACTGTGGAAAAGGGGTGGTCGACTGTTGCGAAAGTTGTCGCAAAACCATGGTTACGCGATGGACTTAAACCACGATGTATAACGCGTGATTTGAAGTGGGGAATACCCGTCCCTGTAAAAGGTTTTGAAAATAAAGTGTTCTATGTTTGGTTTGATGCACCCTTTGGCTATATCAGTATTACAAAAAGATACACTAAGGAATATGAACAGTGGTGGAAACCAACAGACGTAGAAGTTGATTTATATCAATTTATGGCAAAAGACAATGTTCCATTCCATGCAATAATGTTCCCTGCTTGTTTATTAGCAGCTAATGAAGGATATATATTATTGAAGCATTTAATGGCAACAGGTACGAATTCAAACACGTTAACAATGTTACATAAACCTTTCTATAATACATATAGTTAATTACTAATTATTCACTCGTTCAGAATACCTGAATTACGAAGATACAAAGTTTTCAAAATCCAGAGGTATCGGAGTGTTCGGAACTGATGCTAGAGATACCGGCATACCTGCTGATGTTTGGCGGTTTTATCTTGCATATGTTAGACCAGAAACTCAAGATTCTAATTTCAATTGGATAGATCTAGTAACCAAAAATAATAATGAATTATTAAATAATTTTGGAAACTTTGTTAACAGGTACGTGGTGTATTAAGTATCACGAATTGCCTAAATGATAGGAGTAATCTTTTCCTCCTTTTTACTATTATTATTAAAAACTTTTAGGGCCCTAGTATTTGCTGAAAAATACTTCGAGTCTAAAATACCAGCAATGACACTGCAAGAAGAGGATTTAACACTACTAGTGTTAGCTCAACGGGAATTGTCTTCTTACATACACAATTTGGAACAAGCTAAATTACGCGATGGTTTGAAACATGTTTTAGCGATTTCAAAACATGGAAATCAGTACATGCAATTCCAAGAACCATGGGTCAAAATTAAAGGATCGGACACTGATAAGTAAGTATAAGTTTCAGTCATATAATGTTACATCATTAACGTGTTGTCGTTTCAAACTGAAACATAATGTAACATTTTGCTTCTTTTTATTATTTGTAGGAAGAGAGCAGGAACGATCATCGGTATTTGCTGCAATTTAGCGTGTCTTTTGTCGGCTCTTCTAGCTCCGTATATGCCTAATGTTTCACGCCAAATTAGAACGCAACTAGGATTGGATGCTAGCAGTTATGGTTACATTCCTGACATTATTACAAACATACTCCCAACGGGGCATAAAATCGGTAAACCATCTCCTCTGTTTAAAAAGATAGAGGAGAAAGAGGTAGAAACGTTGAGACAAAAATATGCTGGGAAACAAGAAACTAAAAATGGCGCGCAAAAAAATAACGATAATGACGTTAAAAGTTTAGAAGCTGCAATTGCAGAACAGGTTAGCAAAACTTTAATAGCAATGAAAATTACTAATAATCGTTACAGTGTATGTATTCTGTATTTCTAGGGCAATAAGGTTAGGGAATTGAAAGCTAAACAGGATAAAAGCATTTGGCAACCGGAGGTTCAAATTCTTTTAAATTTGAAGAAAAAACTTTCTGATCTCGTGAGCGGATCAAGTAAGCCTACTGAGTCATCACAACCAAAAAATAAAAAGCCGGAAGTGGTGTTTGTACCTGAACAAAATGGGGGTGCTTCCGTGGATGTTGCAAGTTTGGAATCAGCTATTACTAAACAGGTTTGTGAAGATTATATTACAATAATTAAACTTACGGTGGCCTCTATGGTGTTTCATATTAATATATATTTATCTCTGTTTGTTAAGGGTGAACTCGTACGTGAACTGAAAGCTAAAGAACAGAAATCAGTATGGCAGCCCGAAGTGGAAAAACTGTTAAAACTTAAAAAACAATTAGCTGATCTCACTGGGATAACGCCAGCTCCGACTGATAAAAAGTCGAAGAAAAAGAAGTAAATTACACGCATTTCTTCATCATCGTGAAGATGTAAAATTTCATACAATACAGGCCCATTTTTCATCTCTTATTTCAGCGAATACACTTTGAAAGTACGTCAGTATGATATTTTCTTAACTAATGTAATCCATATATTTCATTTAATAAAATTGATTTATACATATGGAAAGCATCACTGCATTAAATAATTCATGAAATCATTGTTTTGTTATGATTTTCTTTCTAATTACAGCTATATATTTTTGCAAAACTTGTTTATAATTTTCCTTCCTCTGTTTTGTTTGCAGCACATGAAAAACAATATTCTCGATAAAACAAATTATAGCAGACAGTACAATTCCAATAAATAAAAGAAGTATTATTGGTATCGTTTCGTGGATGGTAACGCTTGATACATAATGTTTGTCTTTGTCACAATAAGGCTTCCTAGAGGTCCAACGTAGTACTTCCCTCTTTCTGATTCCTGCCGTGGCTATTCTAATAAGGCTGAAGTTAATGGGTCTTTTAATCCACCTCAACATTTACTTATTTAAAAACATATATAAAATTTCTTACCCAATCTTTGTTATCTCTCGAAATGGACTGTTTTTAGTTGACCATAAACCTAATGTATTAGGTCTAAACAAATGTATTTCACTAAGTTGACAAATCATCTGTTTACTGAACATACGTTCAATCACTGGATAAACGTTGATAGGATCTGCATGATAAGCATATCTAGGGTTCATAATTCCCTTTACACCCTCTTCTATTGGTCGAAACTTTTTATTTTCTGGTATAATGTCCCAGTATTTCTTGAAATATTGTACTTCCGGTACAGGAGCCTGTAAATATGTATATATTTTTCGATTAGAAATAATTGTTTAATATATATTATCTACAAAAATTAAAATATTTACTCGTAATAAGAAATTTAAGTAGATATCCTTGTAAGCTGTAAGCTTCATTTTGCTATTTATTAATGAATATAATGAATCATTCATTTTATTTGAAGGTGCATTCAGTCGAGCTGATACTATTGCTGCTGAGTAATAATTATACACAAGTAAACCAAAGATCATTATGTGAAGAAATGCTACACGACCTGCCCATTTATTGCTGACAAATGGTAAACCTGTAATATTAAAATTTGCATCTGTTCAAACTGTGTAATAAACTTTTTTATAGAATACCTTGTTGACACATTGCAGCTACAATAATAAGAACCGTTGTTCCACAGTCGGAATTGTTAACGTTCTTCTCCACTTTTAATATCATCCACAAGGCGAATATTATAATGAACGATAATAAAAATATCATGTACCAAACATTTGTTGAAAATGGTCTAAAGATTATATTTATGTCTATCTTTGATGAGGGTACAGTGAGAAACATAAAACACGTTCTGTAAAAAACACAATATACTTGATGATTGTAAATTTAATTAATTGTATTAGCTGTACAGGAATAATTAATGCCGAAGTTACCTTACAGGCCAAACTTGTGTGATCACGTCCGCATAATTAAGCCTTTCGTTTGTTAAAATCGAAGGATAGTATCCCAAATCAAAAATACGTTTACTGAGACCAGTAACCAGCGGGCCGTTCCTATCATTTTTCTCCCAATGGTCTAATTCCAACACTTCCAAACTATAAATAAAACATGTATCGAAAAAAATAAGAAAATCGAAGAAATTGTAATTAGCGAAAAATTACGTGAAATTGAATATTTCAGCAATGTCCACTATGAGTGAATATCCAAATTTCGGCCAGTTATCTGTAAGTGCCACACTGTTCTGCTCCTGAAGATACTCTGTCAAAATTTGATCTTTAGGCCTCTGAGTTACCTATGTAAAGATTATCATTTATATTTGTAATATATGATTATTAAGTACATCCACTTGAGACTCACGACACCAGCAACTCTAACTTTCATCTTATGATAGTTCCATCTTCTGGAGAACTTATCCGCTTTCAAGTTAATGTCTAATCCATCATTTTCTCTCCAGCTACCAAATTCTGTGATGTTCAATAAACCACCACAAGGTTTGCAATGATTATACACATCGTATAAAATATAATCGTCATTCTTCGGTACAGAAATGACTACATCTGTGATGATGCTAAACACGCTGTCGTTTAATAATTGAATAGTACGGTTCATACTTTCTCCCAAAATCAGCCACTGGTGCAGATGGTCGAACATGTAATAGGCTGAAGTCTAAATCATGGTTTTTTCTATATCATTATTCGTAAAAATTTAAAAGAACAGTTTCGATGGTTTTATTATATAGGGTGTTCGACAACAAGTGGGCAAAATTTGAAGGGGTGATTCTGGGGATCAAAATAAGACGAAAATCAAAAATAACGAATAGCGTTTGCGGCTTTGTTTTCCAGTAATTAACGTTTAAAAATTCGAGTAATAAAAAGCGCCTGAAACCTGCAATCCGCCCAGCACCGACGACTGAACGATTCTTGGTTATAACTGTACCTTCCCCTGCTGACCTGACGTTCAGTAGTCGGTGCTGGGCAGGTTGCAGGTTTCAGGCGTTTTTTACTCGAATTTTTAAACGTTAATTACTGGAAAACAAAGCCGCAAACGCTATTTCGTTATTCTTGATTTTCGTCTTATTTTGATCCCTAGAATCACCCCTTCAAATTTTGCCCATCTGTTGTCGAACACCCAGTATACCTCGCTGAAAAGTTTAACGACATCATCGTCTGTAAAGGAACACTGTAGATCCAAGAACACTCCTAAATTCCAATGATCACTGTACAAAAATTGTGATATGTCGATGTTTGATGTAAGTTGTTTTATGGAGGCTGCGATCCCAGCCTCATTAAAAATTCGGATGATTTGATAGTCATCTGAATTAAAACATTCACTTAATTGAACCGAGAAGAGAAGTTAACGTGATCTCAAAATCTAATTCACTTATTACTTACTTTCACTGTTTCCACAAGAAAATCCAACCACCCCGTTGACTTGTTTAAAAAGAAAATAATCGCGAATTATGTTGACATTGTTTGCATACAAGGTGACGATTAATTGCAAATAAAAGAAACTTCGAAAGTGCATTTTTCTTACTATCATTGCACTTTATTCTCGGTTGTAAATCAAACGACTGCATGCAGAAGGTTCGTGTTGCAACTATCAGCCAGCAAAGTCATCCCTTCTTTCATTTTATATGAGAAAGCATGTCAGTTTTGACGTAATGGTTCTTTAGCAAAGGAAACAACTTCTGGTTTGCACATGTACCACCTAACTCTATTTGTAGCTTAGTATGCTTGATAGAATACCTAAATATTTTTCTTAATTATTATTTACAGATAGAAAATTTAACAGAGGGAAAACTTCTAACAATAAATTATTGTACGTCGCCAACCTTCCGGACAGATTCTTGGTGTCTACAGGGGTACATGCCTTGAGGAGTACTTAAAGACAGAAAATTACAGAAATAAAAGAAATGTTTGTCTAATCAAAACTCTATTTGTCTACTCTGAAAATCAATAAAGATCAATGATTTAAATCTAACAAGTTGTCTCTACTATTTCCGCTAGCAATACTTCCTCTGGTTCCAATTCTCTTCTTCTGATTTATGTCCATCTTCCTATAAGACATATAATTTTTATTAAAAACCACAGTGTCTTCTATCATTGCTTTTAAATGGAAAAGCAATTCACCTCATCGAACGATTAAAAATAATATTTTCCACAATACAAATTGTTCCAGCCACGATTATACCAAACGCCAATAAAAGTAAAGCTGGTGCTGTTTCATAGATGGTGATACTCCTGGTAGATAAAGTATCGGGTTGACATTGTGGCTTCCTTGAGGACCAATGTTTGATTTGACGATTACGAAGACCGGTGTTGAACATTTTTGTCAATCTTAAAGAGATACCAAAATAAAATAAATTTTAAATCATGAAGAACAAGGAATGGATGCAGAGATGCTTACCCTATTTTGGCTATCTCAATGAATTGTCCATTATGACTAGCATACATTCCCATCACAGATTGTTTAAACAAATGGATCTCCGTTAATTCGCAGATTTTATTGGAATCGAACATCCTTTCCACATAAGGGTAGGCTGTATTTGGGTCGGTGTGATATGCTAAAATACCTTGGCTCACTTGTCTGATTCCTTCCTCTAATGGCAAGTATCGTTTGGATTCTGGCAGAGGATCCCAACGTTTTTTACGAAAATAATCTGATTCCCAGTTCAATTTCTAATAATAGTATTACTGATATTAAATTAAATCATGATTCCTCAATTAGAATTTGAGTTGTATCCTACTAACGTATAGAAAATAGTTGAGATATGGCACAGCTTCTGCAGCAATTTTTAAATTGCTATCAGCAAGAACCGTCACTGAATCTTCCATCATGTCTAAGGGTTCGCTTAATCGAGCCGAGACGATACTAGCTGAATAATAATTGTACATTATCCAGCTATGTAGGGTTATTTGAAATAGTGCTATGCGACTTGGTACACGTTTTGGAAGGAAATTTGCACCTAATGAAAAAAACGAAAAGGGTCAAAGGGTCTGTTATTGAGAATTTTTAATATATACATACCTTGCTGAGCTATAATTCCTATGGAAAGCACCACTGCTCCTGAATATTTCTCTCTTTTACCTACTTTCTCACGATTCATAATTAATTTCATAATAAAGATGGAAAATATTCCAAAAGCTGCGAACACGTACCACGTCTGCCTCGTAAAAGGCTTCAGAAAGATTTCCAATTTGATTTTATTAGTTGATGTTGATAGAAGCATGAAACAGGGTCTACTCAGAATTATATTTAACGTATCTATTACATTTGAAAAAGATTATTTATAATATTAGTAAATGATATTGATTACTTTATAGGCCAGGCTGCACCAATGAGGCTAGCAAAATCTAATCTTTCAGACACCATAATCCTTGGATTGCTCGCAAAATCAATGTAATTCGATCTTAAAAATTCAAAAATTAAACCATGCACGCTGTGCCTGTCCCAATAGATTATTTCTGATGCGTGAACGCTGAATAAAGAAGAGCGTTGGTTAATTAAAATTCTATAATTTGATGCTATTATTCGTTACCTAAAATTGAAAAGATCCCCCGTGTGTAACATCATAGCATGGACAAATTTATGCATGCTGTCTAAGGATCTCGTATTAATATCCTGCATGTAATCTTCTAGACGCATGTCCTTTGGTCTGTATTGTATCTGAATATCATATTATATTATAAATACCTTCTACATTTTTATATACTTTCATTTACAATAATACTCACCACCCCAGATATCTTTAGTCTCATACCATGCATGTTAGCTCTCCTGTTAATCAAAGGCTGGGTCAGGATAATGTTTAATCCAGAATCTTGACGCCAAGTGCCGAGTTTAGTGACGTTTAATAAACCACCACGATATTTACAATGATTGAAAACATCGTATAAATCGTATCCATGCTCGTTCGATATAGCCAGAACAAGATCCGTCACTATATTGTATGCGGTGTCGTTCAGAAGAGGAATACTGCGATTGTAATTCGAGCCAAGTACTAGCCAGTTGTAGGAGTAATCGTACATTCGATGCTTCGAACTCTAAATTGTACAATTTTGATTAAAAGTTTCGTTAATCGTAATCGTTCTATGGAATCTCTAAACTTTTGTTTCTCTTACTTCGGCAAAAATTCGGACAGCCGTTTCATTGTGACAACGTACATCGATGACAACACCTACTGTCCACGTTTCGCTTCTCAAAAATCTTCTAAAGTCGATTTTCATACTGGGTTCTCGTATTATTGTAAATATACCGATGGTGCTCAGGGTTTTCAGAAGGTTGAAGTCACCTGTGAACAGGTGGTAATTGTCATGTAGATATAAATTTTCCATTTGATGGTCTAATATTTCTTGAATTAAAATTACGTACCTATAGTGTCACCGCAAGAAAATCCTACGACATTTCGAACTTTCTTATGCACAAAATAATCACGTATGAAGATATGATCCTGTGCGTTGGAGATCAAAATAAATTGTAATAAGAGTAGAAAAATGATGGACATTGTAACAAGTAAATTCTTCACAATTTTAGTGATAGTTGGATTGAACCCTCCAGCATGGTATACTTGATGAAATTAATATGCTGCATTTGGCTCATGCATTGAATTCATTATGGTCATTTAGTATTCTGATATTCAAGACGAGCCTGTCAAACAATTTCGTGTAATCTGACAAATTGCTCGAGTCACGAAAGGTGAACATAGTTCCTTCATTAATTTTTTATTCGAACGTTTCGTTCCTTGATGTGACACACGAGTTGCGCGATGGAAATAAAACACAGTGACTTATACATTTTTTTTATAATAACTAGATTATACACTTTCAATCAGTTAGACAGAGAGAAAAAAATATTTAAATATTTCAGAATTTATATACATTAATTAATCGCTGATAAACGAACTTCCTGATAAGTTAAATATTCAAGGTATCGCCAACGCGATGGAAACCCCACAGATTTAAGTTTAAAAATTAATTACACGATAATAAATTGGCGACCGGCTTTTCGTGATATTAGTAATATTAATATTGGTAATTAATTGACAGAGTTAATGCGGTGAAAGGATATCGTATAGTCAGTTTACCGCTTAATGAATATCGTCGGTACGTGCGGAATATCATTAATTAAACGCATTAAGGCACGCGTGCGTGGTCATTTAGTTCCTTAGTGTCCCATTTATAATAAAAGCTCCATCACATAACGAGAAGAGTCTAAATTAAGGTGCGACTATGGCGTGCAAAGGATCCATAATTCTGTTTGAATAATTAAAGATTCCGAAAATTAGCTCATTTTTCGATTACATTAAAATTTCTTGAAGTCTGCAAATTGACGTCTTTTAATGTTGATAAATCGAAGTTTCTTCCTATCAAATGCTTCTTCTCCATTAGTGCGCTCTCTCTCCTGTAAATGAAACATTTCATTAGAAAGTCGAATACGTTTAATGAGAGAAATGATAATCACCGTGCTGAAGAAAGGTAGAATAATAAATTCTCGACGAGGCAAAAAAGAAGAGACAGGAACATGGAAAAGCTCAGAAATATGAAAACTGGGGCAGCTTCGTGAATGGATAAAGGTTCAGCGATTAACAGATTGTTTGGACAGAACGGTTTCCTAGATCTCCATCGTTTCAGTTCCCGTTTCTGGATACCAACGTTGCGAATTTTTGTCAGACTAGAAAAAAAAAGGACGGATTTAATTCCTTAAACAAGAGTAATTTAACTGAACGTATTCAATACCCTATTTTCATCAATTCAGTGAAAGGACTCTTGTGTCTCGCGTAGAATGCCAGTATCGATCGGAAGAGATGAACTTCCGTCAGCTCACAAATACTTCGATAGTTAAACGATTGTTCAATATACGGATAAGCGGAATCGATCATCGTGTGATAAGCCAAACTTCCATCTGCCACACGATCGAGTCCCTCCTCCAGTGGCAAGTATCTACTGAACTCTGGTATTTTCATCCAACGGTTCTCGTAGAAATATCTCACCTCCTTATCTGGTACCTATTAAACGAATAAATGTCACGAAGTTTGATATTTTATAAAGAAACATTACCTTCAGAAAAGAACGAATATAGGGAGTCGACTCCGCTGCGAGTTTCATATTGCTCTTCGCCAAGCTGATCAAAGAATCATTCATTCTTTCGCCTTTGTTCTTCAAACGATTCGACACTATACTTGCTGAATAATAATTTAAAATTAACACGCTGAAAAGCAGAGTGTGCAGAAGCGCGATGCGTCCTGCGAAACGATTCGGGATGAATGCAGATCCTGTGGAAAATAATTATGTTTCAAAAGTGATTTGTTATGATTTTCTTTCAAACGATTATGTACCTTGTTGAGATATTGCTCCTATTGTTAGTAAAACAGATAGTCCATATATTTCGGTAGGAGAACGTATACCCTCCATTCTTATTAAAATAATCAAAATTATCGTGACCATTCCTATCGTAGCGAATATTACGTACCATACTTTCATGGATAAAGGTTGCAGAAATTGAGTTGGTTTCATTTTCGACGATGAAATTGTGCGGAATATAAAACACGATCTATAAAAATGAAATTAATTAAAGATACTGTACAATTATACCGAGGTAGTAGTATTATACCGTATCGGCCAGACAGGCCCAATTATGTCTCCGTTAGTCAATCTATCTATCTTCATTGCAACCGGACTTGCCGACATATCTATAAGTTTCTTCTTGAAAGCCGTAAATACCGGACCGGAATTGTCGAATCTTCTTTGAGCATTTATTTGCACGAGGTCCATACTGTAAAAGGCACGAAACATAAAATTTGAAATCTGAAATTCTAAGCACATTTTAATATTAATTAATCAATCTTTACGTGAAATTGAAGAGGTCAGACAAGTGATGCAGAAGAACGTATAAAAATTTCGATCGACCGTACTTTGATTTCATGGAATATTCTAACATGGTTTCATCCAGGGATTTGTTCTCTACTTTAATGTTTAACTGAAAAATTACAATTTATTTTACAATCAATAAATTCCTTAGTTATCACTTTTGGATAAGTGATATAGAAATTAGCGAAGACTTACAACGACGCCTACTTTAAGTTTCATTCCATGCAAATTAGACCTCCTTTGAAATTTCGACTGATTCAAGCTAACATTTAATCTAGATTCACTGCTCCACGATCCGAAATACGTTACGTTCATCGATCCTCCTCGATCCTTACATGGATTGTACACGTCATAGAGAAGATAATTGTCATTGGATGGTATAACAATCACAACGTCAGTTGAAACGCTAAATGTATCGTCGTTTAGTATTTCAAGTGTCTGGCGAAGATCTGAGCCTAAGATCAACCATTTGTGCATCTCGTCGTACATAGAATACTTTCCTGCCTATAATGGGTGAATTGATTTGGAATACCTACAAGTTAATGGAATGAACATTTTTCAATCTTACTTACATCGGCTATGACTTTAACATAACGTTGAGGATCGCATCGACAATCCAAGAAAACACCTAACTGATGATATTCAGCTGTTAGAAGCTTCTTTACATCTAAACGTGATTCAATTGTGGAGTTAGACATCGAAATGTATGTAGTGTACATGCCGTTCAAAGTCTTCGCAAGCTTAAAATCATCTATTTTCAACGTAAAAGTGTATTAATTAAAGAAAAGATTGTTTGAGATTCAAAAGTAATTTACGCACTTTCCACGTTATCGCAAGAGAAGCCGACAATCCTCCCCACTTTCCTAAATGCGAAATAATCACGGATAATGTAATTTTCATTAGCACAATAAACAGCGGTTAATTGCACCGTCGAAAGTAACAACAAATACACACAATTCATTGCAGAAAAATTATTTCTCTAAGAAACACTTTGCAATAAGACGTTCTGTTACCGATACCTTTCATGAATATTCTATTTCTATTTTAATATTTTACCTTAGCGTATATTGAGCATAACTACTGTGAATTCTTAAACATGCTCCTAACATTAATATTTAAGTACCTCATCCATACTCAACACAATCCAAATGAAGTACAAATTTCGAAATAACCAATAACATTTATTTCCTGCTCATCCTATGAAAATACACGAACGAAAGAAAGAAAGAGAGAGTTACCATCTAAACGTACCACTTTAATTAATATAATTTGTACTTTCTATGCACGACATAAAACGACAGCGCTTCGCCACCTTCTTCGATCTCGTCTTCTTGTTGATTCAAAGGGCTCGAATAAATCTGCGCACAATGCATAAATAAAGAGTAACTTGTAAATGACTAGTACTGATCATTTTGATGTCGCAAAAATCACGATCGCCGCCACACGCTCGTTCTAAGCCGATCCCATTGTGCTCGAATCGTTGTTTATTCTATCGCGAATGGAGGGGCGTCGTTCGTTGACAAATAAAATTTTCCTCGTAACCTGTAACAAAACAAGAAAAACGTGATTAGTGATAAATAATTCACGGATAATTAAATAATCAAAGCGTATGCGCCTTACGACGTGGATGCGTATTCCCCCATCAGAACAATAGGGTTGTAATCGCAACGACCCTCTTTGTATTTTTCCCAACTCTCGCAGGTTCTAGCCTTGAAACCGGCTGTACTTCCTATACTTTCTGTCATGAATTGATGCGCCCGTGAATGACTACAGTACGCTAAGTATTCAGATATCTATCATTAGCGAGTTTAATGTAAGATTGGTTTAACAGTCGACACCCATAGTCACCGCAGATTCTTACTTGTAGTTGGTATAAATGAGCATCCAGGCTGAGGAAATGTTCCGTTGTTGGGATAAAAATCAGCGTGACCTAGAGGAGCTAAAAATCCAAACGCCGGTCCACTTGTATGGATCACGTCCACGAATTGTGCATCTGTTGGATCCAATCTGAATTCCGGATCCACGATCCCGGAAATCGTCTCGAATAGAGGACTGGCCGGATCTAAGCCTTTGAAATTACACCACAAAATTATTGAAAATGGCATTAGAAACGTCTTAGTAATTGTCGAAGGGGTAGTACTACCTGTTATTCTACCGATCCGCCCGTCCAAGTAAGCACCGGCGAATCCGGCTACATGTGACCCCAAACTGTGTCCACTGATGTGCACGTCCTTGTATTCCAAGTTTGATTCGTGGTTCAAAAATTCCAGAAAATCACCGAGAAATTCGCCTACGCGACGCGTGTTGTTTGCAGCCAGCGGATATATGTCCGCGGCTAAGATACCCCATCCTACCACGATCACGTTCACATCTTCGTGAAGAAGATACGCTGCAATCAAACAGGTACACTTGTAATTAATTCTACGCGTTTGAAAAATTATTTAAGCCCATTACAGATAACGTATTAACTTCGATCGCTGTTTAAAGAGCTGTATGGTTTTTTAACTTGCGCTTCTATTCATCTACCAACGTCACTGGGATCACCAGAGGGTCAAAGGGTGTACCGACAGAGGATCTTGGAAAAATTCTAAATCGAAATTTCTCACAGTTACGTCAGGAGCTTAGCTCGAGAGCAAAAACTTCTTAAGTGATCAATTAAGTTGTTATCGTGTTGACCCTTGAACCTGGCGACGTCGATTCCGTGTTTACCAAAACGGATTGACCCTGATTGTAATTAAATTTCACTGATTCCTCGACGCTGTCGTCGCCGACATTTCTAGAAATTCCGGGAAAATTATTCTTCCCCCTGGTTGTTACCAAACACACAACTTCCTTCCGCTTTACTTCTCTCTCTCTCTCTCTCTCTCTTATCGTAAGCGTCGATATACTCGTGTTTTGCGTACCATCTATCAAACCTCGTACCCAAGCTTCGTTTCCGGTGTCGCTGAATCCGTGAATGATGAACTTTGTTGGACGGCTTTCATTGAAGTGAGACGCGTACAGGACCTCGGTATTGTTTAAAAACAACTGCTCCTCGCCAAAGGGATTTTCCCTTCATGAAATAGAAAAAAAAAATTATGATTATTGAGTGAAATGTTATTAATTAATTCTTTTATAAGATTGATAATGACCTCTTATAGATCCAAGAATATTACGAGTAGTTGAAACACGTGTATAAAAGCGATATTAACACATTGAATGCAATGTCACCCATATCTGGGTGACACTTGAATTGTCAAAGGAAGCCATTATCTATATTATTAGGAATTTGGTTACTTATCTAATTAGAAATATTTTTATTAGGTATTTAAAATAACGGATAATGGAAATAATAAATAAAATTTTTTAAAAATAAAAATATTATCTAATGAAATTTTCAATAGCGTTTGCCTGGCAGTCAACGTGTTAAAAGTGATAGAGATCGAAGTAAACGAATGGCGTCTCAAGTGGCGCTACGATTTCCTCCCCGTATTCGATCGGCTCGATCGACAGAAGAAGGCAACACAGTGCAAAAAAGAATAAGAGAAGGAGGCGCGTCCGCGATATTCACGCATCGATGATAGTCAGTGGAGCGTCAGCGCTGAGAATAGAATTTGCCGGCTTGCTGATTGCACGTATCGTTAAAAAACTGATGCATCGTTTACGAACGTGAACGATAAAGTCAAGCTTGGTGCACGGGCGAAAAATTCGCAACGCGAATCGCGCGTTGCCAAGGAGAAGCGCGAATTTTCTTGATCGTCGGAAATCGTTCGCTCCTCTCTTCTTCCTTTGCCACTTCGATTTATTTCAAATTGAAATAAATAGATTTCGTTTCACGAATCCGTATAAATTAATTATCGCCTGTGACATAAATTTTGTCAGTATACGTATAATTAACAAGCTTGGGAATGGGGGGCTGAGCGTAAACGTGACAAGATTAACTCCCAAGCGACGGAGCCTGGGTCAATCGTGACACCCAGACCTACTAAACGTATACTACAGTATTTTCGCGTACAATTATTTAACAAAAAGATTTCATATTTCACTTTAACGGGTTTGCCATTTGTAGAGTTAAAGACATTGCAAGATGTATCAGCCTGAACATTCAATATTTTCCAAATAAATCACCTCCTTCATACCTGGTGTACAAATTAAAGGTAGCTGGTTCACGGGCAGCCTTGAACACGGACCTGATTACCGTCTCCACATCGTTCAGAAGAGTGTTCTGCGGATACGCGTACGCTGGAACCACGATTAAACAGAATTTATTATAAAAGAAAACGAAATGTTCAAATATGCACAGTCACTTTGAAAGTTCGTAACATATCAGAGCTTTGAGAATCAGACTACAAGTATCTATGCACTCTGATTTTCCAAAAGATATTCACTAGAAACAATCAGTTGGACACTTTAACTGAACCTGTGAAAAGATCCACGTGACATTTACCTGAGACCAGAACAATCGCCAGGAAGAGGAGAGTTTCAACCGGTGACATGTCTCTCTGTGCGATACCGCTCGTCGTTGCACTGGATTACTACTGTAGCCGGCTTAGCGGCGGGGTACCATTCATCCTACTCGCGATTTCTCGTCTTTGATGTTCGATAAGCCTGGCAGCTACGTTCATTTGTTTAATTAATTACGACAGTCACTCGCTGAACGTGCACGCAATTTTTGAGAGCCGACGACGTCTCTATCCCCACTGCCCGTCGTTGCTCCGTTCGAATCCCGGACACTTCTGAATTTCGTAACTCGTTCTACGACCTCGTCAGACGAAACGTTTTTGCAACCCTTTCTCGAGACATGTTACTCGATTCTTATCGTTAAGATATCAGGCTCGTTCTCGTTTCGAATGAAAACAAGAAAGACGGAAATGTTTATTTGGCAACGAAGAGAGGTAGAGCCCCAAACGATGAAGAACTATGATTTAAGAAAAAGAAAAAAGAGATGAGATTATGATGAATTGCAGATTTGATCTGAATAATACCGTCACTGGAATAACTGGATAAGGAACAAAGTGGAAGTGGTTCTTCTGAGATGTGAATTACCTTCCTTCTTCCATCAGGAATTATTGGAATAACAAATTTTATCTTATCAGGAGTAAAAATTTGGGCCAGAATACAATATGCAATGCAACTAGAATCAAAACGTACAACAACGTTCTTAATATGCAAAATTAAAAATAAAAATCAGTGGAATAAATACGTAAGGGACATGGTGGGTCTTCTCCCACCCCTCCTTTGTAACTTAATAACCCTTACCTTGAATTTCCGCAAATACCGTATTGCTTTCGAACTTAAGATTCTGAACGCATTCTATGAATATATGAAAAAAGATATTTCATGAATGTCAGCAAATATAGAAACTTTAATCAGAATTACGATAGTGTAACTATCCCTGTTTCATTATCGTGACGGTTGTATCGTCTTTATTCGATGTAACAGAGAAACAATCTTGCATGACTATTAAATTATTACATTTCCTTCATCAACGTTCCTTTTCTCTTTTTATCGCATATTATAATGACTGGTGAAAGAAAAATACAATTACAATATATAACACTAGAACTATTAATAGTATTATGCTAATTATCTGTTTCATATCTTCATTTCGTATAGTTTATTAAGAATGTTTTTTATCGTTACGAATTATGCAATACCTGTAAATTTGTCAATTAGATATTACTGAATATTATTAAATAATTAATAAATAAACTAAACGATAAGAAAATTCAAAAATATTCTCTTACATATTCCAAGGTTCCTCGATTTGATCCTGAGATCCCCTATAACTCATCTCAAAAGCACGTGCAAAGTGTTCAATACAGTGATACGTTACAAACTTCACAGTTGCGCTTCGTTTTGAACCTGTTTCAAGTGGAGTGTACCTCATGAGTATGTACAAATAAACGTTTTTGTAATATAAAATTCTTTTAAACAAATACTCACCATAAACAGAAGATTGAAGTATCATATACTGAAAAAGAAATGTCTGAAAAGTTGCGAAGATATGAGAAAATTGATTTCTTGGGGGAAGGACAGGTTAGTTACAGAGCAAGCATTGTCTTGAATATTGTTAATATAATTACATATTTAATTTCAGTTTGCCACTGTTTATAAAGCCAAAGATATCGAGACGGGCAAGATTGTTGCTGTAAAAAAGGTATACTAATGTCTTTATGCTGAAAATGAAATATTAATTCATGCAATAATTTACTTAATTTATGTGTTTTAGATTAAAGTTGGAAGTCGTGCAGAAGCTAAAGATGGTATAAATAGGACAGCATTAAGAGAAATCAAATTGTTACAAGAACTGAAACATGATAATGTCATTGGTTTATTAGGTACAAAATCATACGTTTATATAGCATGATATTAAAATGAATTACTTAATATTTATATTTTAATATTAATGTTTTAGATGTATTTGGTTACAAATCAAATGTTTCTTTGGTGTTTGATTTCATGGATACAGATTTAGAGATAATAATAAAAGATAGTAATATAGTTCTAACAGCTGCAAATATCAAAGCATATATGATTCAAACTTTACAAGGCTTAGATTATCTCCATCATAATTGGATACTTCATAGGGATTTGAAACCAAATAATTTGCTTGTCGATGCAGAAGGGGTTTTAAAAATTGGTGATTTTGGTTTGGCTAAATTTTTTGGTTCACCAAATAGAATAAATACACATCAAGTAGTGACAAGATGGTATAGAGCACCTGAATTGTTATATGGTGCAAGATTATATGGAACTGGAATTGATATGTGGGCAGTTGGTTGTATATTGGCAGAACTCCTATTACGTGTTCCATTTCTACCTGGAGAATCTGATTTGGATCAGCTTACTAGAATATTTCAAGTAATTATTTTTATAATAATTTTTGACTACTACATATTGTTGTTCATTTAAATATACTTATGTACATGATTTGTAGACATTAGGTACACCCACAGAAGAGACATGGCCAGGAATGACTGAACTACCAGATTTTATTCAGTTTAAGCCTTTTCCTGGAACTCCATTAAAACATATATTTACCGCTGCTGGCGACGATCTCCTAGATCTAATTGCTAGTCTGTTAAATGTAAATCCTTTAGAAAGGTGTACATGTGATCAAGCTCTTCAGATGCCATATTTTAGCAACAAACCAGCACCTACTCCTGGACCAAGGTTACCCCTTCCTACATCCGTAAAACGTCAACCAGAGGAAAAACCTAGTCTGAAAAGAAAACTATTAGAATCGATGGATGGTGCTTCGCTTGCGAAAAGATTACAGTTTTAACTATAACTTTAATTAGAATTAATTATGGATTACTACAAATAGTAATTCATTGTGATTGTTTTTGTTATCGATTTTACAATGAATTATCAGTGTAGTATACAATATAAAAAAATATGCAAAAATAGAATGATTTGTGTAAATATGTAATGTATAGATTAAAATTATAAAATGTATTAAGTAGATATTTAATAACGAAATAGCGCGATTCCATACATTAAAGAATAAATAATGTATTTTTGTTACAAAATCATTACAGAAACGATAAAAATTGAAGTTATGTATGAAATGCATAAATGTTTTGTATATTTTTACAGTTTTTGTATTTACAGAATATACTGTTTATAATATACACAAACTTAGAGGACAGGAATGTTACAGGTTGAAATAATAATACATATTTGAAAAATACAACATTATGCTGCATTACTTTTATTAACTTAAAAACTAGTAAGAAATGTTTGATACGTGAACAATTTTGTAACTTGTGAAATATTAAATTTCAATAGCGTAAAGAGGTAACTCGTTGATAACAAATGATTAAAACTGTAATCGTATTTCGTAGCATCTTTGCAGCTAGTTTAAACATTTGTTTTTCACAATAAGTACAAATATTACCAAATCTTAGTTTTCTTATTTCTCTCTGATGATCCATCAACATTTTCCTTGTGAGTAAAACCTAAATTATAAACAAATAATCCTCTTTTTATTCAGTAACATCTACTTTTTGAATGAAAACATATACCGGTAATTTCTGCTATATTTGATGACGATTTTGCATTTCTCATCTAGGATGGACTTGCAAACAGTTTTTTACGAGTACTGCTCACGGCTGATTGAATTATTTTTTCAATCCAGCTTCTAATATCCGTGCACAAGTTCAATACATATGTATTACACACACATATATGTATAAACCTACTCAATACTGATGGGTAACAAAAACATTACAATTTAGTGAAAATACAAATTATACATATCTTATATTAATGCACATATCAACATGAGTTAGCTACCTCTGAAACTGATGAAAGTGTTTCACATTACAATCATAAGAATAGATTAAATTTAATATTTTGATATATTACATAAAGCTGTAACAAAATTTGTTATATTATACACATAGTTACATTAAAAGCATAAATTAAGACGATGTGTGCATTTAAATACTGAAGCAACATTTAGTATTCTGTTTATACATCGTGTTAAATCCTGAAATAGAGATGCGAAGCTGCAAGTTCTAATATAAATAAAACGTGATCATTTTAATGTAAGATGTGTTAGAGGATTACCGCGGTATATTGAATTCAGCACACTGCTATGTAAACGAAAGTACATTCCAACATTAGAATAAATTGAAATATTAGATCTATTTTTTTTCACTTTAATTTAAAAAAGATGAGGTAATAAATGTATGGAACTAAACAAGTTTATATTTTGAAACGCAAGTAATCTCCTAAAACGTCTTATAATGTATAAATGATAATTCATTCTAACACATTGTACTGTGGTCCCTCTTATTCAGACTGAACTATAACAACTATATAATACCTTTTCTGAATGCGTATGTACCAATGTTTGCCAGACACAAGTTAGTGAGAAAGCATAAGAAATATTATCACTATTATTTCTCGTTCAAATGACACAGAAAATATGCAAACAAAAATTTGAAAATAACTGAAAGAAGATATCTTTATAATACTATTAAAGAAAATCTGAAAAAAATAATTGTTACTAAATCTTCTCCTTCAATGATTTATGCACTAATATGTTTCTATGTGTTTGTACAACATAAATCTGTTCTTTCATGCAACTTATTTACACAGAAAAATAATATACTTAATAGTAGATTTTACTGTACATTATATATATACTTAAAAAGATAATTAAATTTATAAAATTGATATTACACAGAGTGTGATGTAATATCAGAAAACATTTTTTAATACAATTCAAAAGTTAACCCGTTTGTTATATATTAATGAATTCATTGAAAACATAAATTAATTCGCTTGTTTTTAACGTTTATGACATAGTGTTATGTAATTTGAGCATAACAACTCTACATATTGAACAAAAATTTTTTGTTTGAGGAATCAGCGTGTTACTTGATAATATATTCCATATTTAAAGTCACCACCGCTTTAAATGTGTCATAGTAATGTGATAGATAGACTTAATGATTTTATTTTATACACTATTTGCCTATCCTGCGTGCATTTTGCAAGGAACATCGTATTCAATAACATTAGTTCTGTTTTAATATGCCCTTTCCTGCATGGCCCTACACGTGTAACGTGTTGGCAAGACATTCTTTTACTCAGCGGGGCTTAAATTTTAAATAGGATGCGTTGTTCAATATACAATTAAAATAAGATATATCAGAAATAGCACGTAGGACATAGTATTGAGATCAAAGAAAAAATATAATTTAAAAATATGTTATATATCAAAATATTAAATAATCAAACTTATAATTTATAAAATTTAATTTAAATGATAAACATTGTAATGGGATAAGATATTATCGATTACATGTAATATTTTTGTGTTTTTTAAAATTGCTGTTATTAATTGTATTATTGTCTTATATTAGCATCCCATCAAGAACACATATTTGAAAAATTGTTGTAAATGATTATTTCCTGAACATGAAATATAATGAAGATTTAACAATTGTACGTAACAACAAATACAATTGCTTCATTTTTTAAATTATACTATGTCCTAAGCAAATATTTTTAAGCAGTAGTCAATGCACAGTCTATAGAGCACATGCAGCAGACAAGTTGCTCTGGCATTTCGTTTCTAGACATTTGATTCAGTATTTAAAGTAACATATATAACAACTTATGCAACCAACAACATGTTATGACTACCTTACAACGCGTATTTTCCTTAATTTCTTATTTTTTACATTAAGTCAACATATACCAAAATTTTTAAACAATATTAATACTATTTTACATTTAAATTTGTAGCAATTTTTTAATCTCCTAAATTAAAGACCTAAACATAATTTAATCATATACATTTTGTACGAGCTAGAGTTAAATACGAATCATGCAAATTTTGATTGATATATAAATAATAACACATATATTTAATATTGCTTAATATTATTTAAAAACCATGGTATTTAAATTCTAGAACAAAGATGTCATTTGCAAATGAAAATGAAACGATACCTATTTAGAAATTTAAAATAAGTATACATACATTATAATATAGCTGTCCATAATAATAATATCACATCTCCAAATACTACTTAGCACGAAGTGTTACAAAATAAATGTATATATAAACCATTTTAGACAAAAAATATAGGCGGTGCAATTTTTCGGTAACTATCATTTTGTCTTGAGTGTAAAGAAGAATATATTTTTTTAATTTTTCTAATGCGGATAGTTTAGCATGGTATATTTTGTTGTTTCCAATATCGAAGATCATTCCACAACTTTGTTTTATAAATATGTGTAAAATATTCTTCAGTCCATTCATATCATTATTGAAAATCCAACTTCAATTACAAAAAATTCAATTAACATTTAAATTCTTGATCGATACGTTTCACTTTGGCAACATATCACTTTTAATCTTGAAAAAACTTAAAATAATTAATTCCATGACATCAAAACATATTTGAGATTAATACATGAAGTCAGTATAGAAGAGAATGTAATTACAGTATTTCGTACAAATACAAATGAATAAAATATCATTAAAATGTGAAACACTCTGTATAGCTTCTTGATTAGGCACAATGTTCGAAAGTAATAAATTCCTGTTTCTGTTCAAATAAAAAGTTTCTTTGTGGAACACACTTTCCCAATACAGACTAAATCTCCCTAGAATTCATTAGAATATTAAAAGTAGAAATACATATTTCATTGTTACTACTGTTTTTTACTTTATTATGTTATATATATTCAGTAGTCAGTCCAAGGCAAACATTATTCGCAATAGTATAATATAATATAGCTACTATTTTCATATCTTTTTAAATCGATCTACCTATATATTACTTTCTTTTAAAAAATGTATACTTAACATTTAATATAATATATATATATAGATATATATAGATACATTTTATACACATGAATATATATATCTATATATATCTCTTTAAAATATTTACAGTCAATGTTATAATACAATAATTTTAATTGTTTCTTATATTTTTACTTTATAAAGGCAATTATTATCATAACTATAGTCCTTATGTATACATGTATATGTATAATGTATCATGTAAACATGTTTTTACAGCAACCAAGTTCATACTAGGACAATATATAATACAAGTAGGGATATTACATGACTTTGACACCTCTACACATATGTACACAGGGAGTGTCATGATCATACAAATTATATTTTACCTTACTATTGCATTGTATTTTAATGCCAATGTTTCTTTAAAGAATATTTATTTTTGAAAGTGACATTTCAATTCTTTGCAATAATTCTATATCTGTGATTCATAAATGCTAGATTTGAAAGTAATTTTTAGACATATTTCAAATGTAGCATGCAGAATGACACTGGTCTACCATTACCATAGACCTTATTAGACTGATACTTCTATTCACAATAATACGTTAGTAAGTAACAGCAAAGTGATTCATTTTAACCAATGACCGAACAATTAGTTACAGGCAGCAAGTAGATGAATAGCAGATCTTACATTTTGATCGCCATTAAAACTTTGTTATTTTCTTTTCTTCGCATTCGAAGCAAAAATGTATAATCATAAATCAACCTGTGCATTTTTATTAATGTGCACTATTTAAAAGTCGGTTAGAGGTCATTATTAATGGTTCGATGAGCTGTAACTTTAAAATCAATTTTATTCTAGGCTCTTGTTTTAAATTACCAAACTTAAAACCAAAATATTTTTTATGTACTATAAAATAACCACGTGAAACGAATGTTATTTGTTGCTATTTATATTTAAAGAAACTCAAATTTAAATTTTGCTGGTAATAAAAAGAAAATTAAGAAGCAATGGAAAAATAAGTGAACAAAAATTTGAATAAGAGCCTAGAATAATAATTGATCTTGTAAAAAATGCACTTTATTAAAACGATTTATAACTAACAATAATTTTTGGTGATGAAAGAAACAGTACTCTTCTACAGATGTTGGTATGTAAAATTTCTTATGCAAACAATTAATACTTTATTGTCTTATGAAATTCGATTACTTAAATCTCTGTAAGCATCAATACAAAAAGTTAAATTTAATATGCTAGCAAATATATTTTTAGTTATTGCAATGTTTTTAGACAAAAGGTCTGTGTGTTACGTGTAATCAGAAGCGACTGTAAACATAACAAAATTTCATGGACTAATATAATCCCATTCAAAAAATTTATTGACTGATAAAATAAAAATTTGTTTGCAAAATTTGAGTGATCCTTTTATACGATGCTGCTATGTAGCTTAATAAAGAATTCGTACGAAATTTAGTAGACGGCGGAAAGACTTACAATATAACGTCCAGATTATAGATTAATAGTATCCAATGTGTGCGAATTTTTTGATGCATTATCCTTTGGTGATGTTGTGGCAACACTAACTTGTTTGCTGGTATTGTTCGTAAATGGCATGGCAAACTTAAAATCTGCACCATTTGGTAATTTTCGCATAATCTTTCCGGATGTAATGAGTCTGCCAAAACCTTCTTGATGCGCGAAAGCGTATCCCGAACGAAGAGATCGTCGCGTTCGTCTCGTAGACGGGGTACGAAGTATGTCTTGACTTTGACGAGAACGAAGTTGCGCCAACCTCTGCTTAAGTCTAACTCTGTCAGACAACGTTGGCCTAACATCTATGAAGAAAAATCGCCACGAGAGTACAGGTATTACCAATATGATACAGGAAATGACCGCCGTGAACCAAAACGTTGCTTCAGACATTGCCTAAAATCATGTATATAAATATTAACATTTAAGATATCATTAATATTATAACCATGATGTAGATGTCCCAACAGGATAACATACCATTGTAAGACTGCCAACATAACTACCACCTATGACGAAGTTATAGAAATAATCTAAAACAAAATACCAAATGAGTGAGCCCCAAACCATAATATGATTAACAATCGTCCAATACGATGTATCAAGGGCTATTTGAACAGTCACAACAATGACTAATATGGTGGCTACAACACTTCCCAGCAACATATGATCAGAAAGTACATAGCCCTTTGGTGATACTCCATCCTTATATGTTCCTAAAGATATATTTTTAATTTTAAGTCCTCTTAACAATGAATAAGAAATAATAATTTTGTCATTGAAACTTACCATACGGAACTAAAAATAATACACAACTGGCAAAAAAACCATGTATTGCACTCCAGCAAAATTCCTTTTTATTAAAAAGTAAATTTTGTAATCCGGGTGCATATAGTTTCGGATACATTAAACTATTTTTATCGTTAACATCTTGATCAAATATACCAACTGCCATTACAGGTAATGACGTATAAAATAGATTGTAGACAGAAATGTACATAGGATCAAATACCGTCTGCAAAGAAATATTATATTTGTAAGGATTTGCGAGATAATTATTCTTAACAGAAGAAAGAACTTTAATTGAAAATATAGAAAAAAATCAGAATTAATAAAGTGTTCATATTCCCAATACTCAACTTCGGATTTAATTAATCAACAAAGGAATTTTACGAATTACATTCGCCTTAAATTCATCATTTTATTACTAATACAGCATTACTTCAGAACCAATAATATAAAAAGATCATACCTGTGCACTGAATCCACAGAAAAATGCAAACCAGATGTGGCACAATGTAAACGCAAAGTTCTTGTAAAAAAAATATCGAAGAAATTTGCTCATTCTATAATACGACCATCTGCCATGAACAAGAAGCAGTCTCTCCAAAAATCTGAATTGCCCTATTGAATAATCGGATGCTAATACGGCCTGCAATCCTTCTTGACCACTGATGCCAACACCTATATGAGCTGTTTTTATCATCGAGACATCGTTAGCTCCATCGCCAATCGCTAAAGTTACGGCATTTTTATTTTTCTTTATTAACTCGACGACCATTGCTTTTTGTAAGGGTGTCACGCGACAACATATCACAGCTTTACCTGAAATGTTATAATATATCAATGTATAAAATAAATGCTCGTGTAAATCATAATGAATTTTGTGGGTCTTACATTGGCTTGATACATCAAGGAAAAGTTGTTCAAGTTGCGGATGTAGAGCATGAACCAAAGAATGACCATTAATAACTACTGCAAACCCAGTTGCTTGTTCCATTTCGTGTTCGTCTTGTTCATCCCTGCTAGGATTGTATTCAGTATCGCTGCTACATATGAAAAATGCAACGTTTAGATGAAGCAGAAATACTTGGTAATAAAAGAACATGATTTTACATCAGTAATATTTTGATTCTCTGGAATCGAGATTTGTTTCCTTAAAAGTAACAAAAGTTTTATCGAATGTAAGAAATAACAAAATATTTTATCACTTGCAGAATAAAAGAAGAAATTTATTTCCGGTATGGAAGGAATTGTCCCCGTAGGTATATAAAAGTGATGCGCGTTAATTATAAACAATACACACAGTGCACTGTCTCATGGACTACTAATATGATAACGTGACATAAGCAACATACTTCTTGTGTTATTATTATCATCACTAAGATTAATTTTAAGCATACAGAAAGAGAAGGAGTGAGTATCAAGCACATGGTAATTATCATTGTTCGTTTCGACTAATTAATGTTAAGACAAAATCATAGAATATTGGAAATAATATGAAATAAAAAGTTGAGGTATTTGAGAAAAAGACTAGTATCTAATCTACTTGTATTGAAATATCTACATAATAAATAGAAGAATTGACAGGCATAAGATAAACGGTCTCAATTATAATAACAATTGAGAAAGAATATACTTATTATTCTGTACAATTTTATATAAATATTTTCAAATTTGCATGCAAATATATATATTTAACTGGGTGAATTTAGGTCCTTGTAAATCTGACAAAGGTAATGTTATTTATACATAACATATTGGAATAAAATATTATATTAGTGCAACTGAAGTTATATTATATCATAAATTGCATGCCGAAGTATAATTGAATCGTTTTATAATTCCTCATAAGAACATTATGATTTCGAACTTTAGTCTTCATTATAATATTTCAAACTTTAATTTCATTATGTTAATCTAATATCAGAGAGCAAAGAATTGAATTTGAAATACTTATAAAATTGAGGCATAACCAGACAAAGAAAGCATTACACAGAACATGATGCCACATTCAGCATGAAAGAGAAATCTTTTAAATAAATGCGTTAATTAGTCAGATTTAGGTATGGAAAAAGTTAATGATTGTACTCCGTCTCTTTCATGTGCCTGACCTTTCCTTGTCCCACCTGAATGTGACGACGGATAGAGTTGGCCGATTATGATGACTGGAGGTTGTTTTGATAGTTTCCAAATATCGTGTTAACTGATTTTCAACGCCATCATAGGTAGTGGCATCTACTATAAAAACGTCAGTAAGGTCGTCTGTCAACAACTGGCAGGAATAACCAATATTGATAGCCGTTTCTATATAAAGATAAAAAATAGTATAGCATAGTTTCGCATACAACTTCAACATATAATTGATATTGTATACCTTGTTTGTCACCAGTTAAAACCCAGATCTTGATACCAGCAAGACCTAAATTAGCTATAGTTTGAGGAACACCATCCTGTAACTTATCCTCAATGGCAGTAGCGCCCAATAAGGTCATATCCTTTTCTATTTCCTCGTAAATAGCATCCAATTTATCGTCTCTGTTTTCTTGACTGAGGGCAGCTTCTTGATGACGTTGTTTCCAATCATTGAAAAATTGCTCGTCTAGATCTCTGACCGAAAGACACAATGTTCTCAAGCCCTCACCCGCAAATTTATTAAGATGTTCCAATGATTTTGCCATTATCTCTTCGCTGCCTTTTTTCAATCTTTCATAAATAACATTGTCCGCTCCTTTGCAATACAATCTAAGATGTCCATCCTTCCTCAAAATGACCGACATTCTTTTTCTGACGTTATTAAAGTCAAGAATGCAAAGCAATTCATATACTTCCCGTTTCCCCATAACTTCGATCGTTATACTATTTGGAGATCGTTCTTTAAATACAAAACCAAAGTTTCTAGCTGCCGATACGAGAGCAGCTTCGTCTGGTGACTGTGCTTGATATTCCAGCCTGCCATTTTTCTCTTCTGGCATGACGGTATGACAAAGTGCCAACAATCGAAAGAAACTATGAACATCCTCATTGTCTCGCTTTACAGCTTCAAGTAGTGCAGAATCATAGAACTTGAACTCTGGCTCATAATCCTTGTTGAAGGAGAAATCCAACGATGGCGTTGTCTGTAAACGAAGTTAAAATATACTTTATGTTAATCATCCTTTATTTTATGTTACAATAAATGTTAGTAAAACACACCGGACACAATATATATATATATATATAAATATGGAAATGAAAATACTAGAAATCAAAGTAAATACCTTGCTTCCATATAGATAGATTTGTTGTAAGTCAACAGGCACATGAGATGTTACAATTTTTTATAATTCCTTAAAGCATCGTGAGAATTAGTGTTCAAAATTTAAGTGAATTAGTAATGCTCGAATCGGAAATCAAAGTGAGACATAGCATGCATCTAATACGTCAAAAAGATGAAAGAAAAATTGCAAGATTGCTAAAGCAATTAAGCCATCTAACAATAGCAAGGTACAAGAATAAAACAGATGTGTAGGACAATAGGAGAATGGGATAAGCAAAACGCGTTCATGACATGTTCTTCGTTGTTAGAAGAAGTGCATTAATATTATCATGCGTACTGAACGTTTATGTGGAATCATCGGGCTGCCATAGACGCCTGGATCTCGAATTATATTTGATATCCTGTCCACCTGTTCCAGTAGACGTACGTTCGGACCACTTATTGGTGTATAAACTTGAACAAATTCTTGACCATTTTTCCATCGCATCGTAGGTGTTCGGGCGGCTTTGTCCGTCTACATGCAGCACACACATGCTAAGTGATGTACATCAAAACTTATGCAAAATATGGCCAAACTGTGAGAATGATTCTATCGTTCCAATCTTGTTACCAAGAAAAAAAAATCACTAAATACATACATTTGCAACTGATTTCATCAATATATTCTTTCTTGATAACAAATGTGAAATGAATGAATTTGATGCATTGAATTTAAACGCTGCTCAGTCTTCGATTAAACGTTCCTTGCAAAAGAAAAAAAACCTTGCTTTCTTTGTGTTTCTTTTCAAATCAATAAACTGTTTATATTTCTGATGACAAAAGTGCGTACATTATGGAAAAAAAAAGAATGAAATAATATCGTTGTTGGTACAAATTCTGTGAGCACCTTAAACATCGTTGCAATAACGTTTGCAAGTTCAACTTAAAAATAAAAATTCGTAGAATCACAAAAACATCAAAAGCTAGAAGAAGAAAGAAACCAGCCGACTTTGTCATACAGCAAACAATTGAATAATATAACATACCCCACATCATCCGCATCGAGTCTGATCGCAGATAGAAAGATAAACACACTCACCTCGGTTAAATCGACGACTTCCCCGGTAACTTCATCGATAACATCTCCATAACACTTTCCTGCTATAGAACACTTGTTAAATGTCATAATGTTTTGCGTCAATGTTCCGGTCTTATCGGAAAATATATACTCTATTTGCCCCAACTCCTCGTTTAACGTAGTAGTCCTTGCTTTAGCGTGTGTATTCGTTGGTGCATAATACATTTCTTCGTCCCAATTGATCAAAAACGATTGAACAAATCTGATTACTTCGACACTCACATACAAACTTATTGGCACCACTGTGTTCAATACGATAGCATAAGAGAAGAACACAAGTAGCGCGATCACTGTGGCACCACCCATAGGCTCGCTAGGCACCAACGAGTCCCATGGCAGATACACTTGGAAATAACGGCCTACAAGACTCTCCCAAATACCACAGCCGATCATACAGAATAAACACATTGAAAGTAAAAAGAACACTATCCCAATGATGAGAAGATTCAGCAGCCTATCTATAGAGGTCCTTTTAAATTTTGTCTTCCCTGAGTTTTGCATCAATTTGGTATCCTTGCCTGCAAAGATGACCACACCATAGCACCATTGCGTGTTTCTAAGCACGCAACCCCGTAATATAATTTTATCGTTGTCCAATGGGTATCTATTACAAACGTAACATAGAATTTAACATATGAAAAATGAAGAAAGTAAGAAACGATTGGATATACACTTACTTTCGTCCCTTCCACGTAAGATTACCATCGAATTTATTTAACAGATTATTAGGAGTCTCGCAAACAATCTCTCCATCAAATTGACCGATCAATTCATGGTTATCCATCATCTCAGCAGTCTCAGCCAAACACTGCCGACACTTTAAATTTGTCTCCCTGGAATAATCAATCGGTATCATGATTTAAACATTTCTCTTATTAATTTATGCTTCTAAGACGTAGCAGCTTTAACAATGAATAAAGTTTTTCAAGCAGACAACACTTAAATACATCTGATTTATAAACAAGGACTACTGACCCATCTAATTCCGCGGTTTCAATGTAACAAAGACCATTTGGCTCACTAGTAGATAAAAGAAGGACGTCGGCTGCAACGAACTGATCATTTTCCATTCTGATCACATCACCTACTTGCACTTGCGACCATTTCTCTTCGCGTAGACTAGTTCCTCGCAGTGTTTGAGATTTTCGATTGTTCACCTGCGAATCGCTGCTGTGCCGTTGCTGAAAAATCATATACGAAATGCGTTATACTTTAACACTTTGACCCCATATTTTACGTACCGAATGGTTTCTTGTAATTTAGTATCATTGGCAAACTTACAAAATCGTCGTAGGCATCTTTGACGGCAGTGAGCATGAGCACCCCTATAAGGGGTATGGCGGTAGTGATGGGGGTCAAGGAGGAGATAGCGGGGATCATCTGAAGCACCAGCAGGCATAGGAAGTAAAAGTTAGCGAGCCGCTGAAATTGCTCGAACAAGTTTAATGGTAGGAACGTCAGAACCGAATACTTGGACGTCTTGATGTAATTGTTCTGAAAATAAAGGAAAATAAAATGCGTTTCATCAAAAGCATCTTTGTGGAGTTCAACCCTTTCGTTACGGGCGTATTTCAATTATAAACCGCCCACTGTGCAATCACCAGTCAATAGTTAAAATTTAATGAACAAATCACTTCTCAACAAAGAACAACAAAGAAACTAAAAATAATGGTACGCACAAGACAACTCTTTCCGTAGTAAAAGGGTTAATTATTGGTTGAAAAAGAAATGGGAAGCACGTCCCAATCTTACCGCATAATTAAACTGTGAGTTGTACTCGCGGTTATTGGCGCGAATTCTCCTCTCCGTTTCTGAAAGAAGAAAAGAAACATTGAATTGTCATAATTATAAAATAATGAAATTACAAAAGGAAGTAATCAATGATTCTCATTAAACGGTATTCTTCATAGGAATTATGTTTTGTAGGGATCGGCTACTACTGTATTCTAAAAATATACCGGAAACACCGACCAAGTATTACACACGAAGGAAGCTGTCGAATGATGTTTCTGCATCGATAATTTAATTAATAATATACTATTATGAGACGTTAATGAATAGGAAGTTAGTATGCAATAAATTTTTTAAATTACAGAAATTTGATCCCTTGGTAACCTGATGCGAGGGATCGATAATGATACAATTAATTTATCAAATTAAACTCAGGATAATGGCATAGTTTGCTGCGTAAATGCAATTTGCATTTGTTACAAGATATAAAATTTAATCGTTAATAAAATATAAGCCCACATAAAAATTCAATAAACGAACAATTGCGCCAAAACGATAACTGCAGTTGTACGTGCACGAAATGTAGTTTAACTTGTCTAATAGTACAGGTTGCATTTTATGAACGAGATGCATTGCAAGATTGTACATGGTCAACTCGGTTGATTAATGTGTAACACATTTTTCCTGGCACTCACAGGTTATTTGTAAATGCACGTTGGAGTGTACTAATGTAACTACCCCCTACTAATAATCTAATTATAAGCATTGGTGCAACAATTTCTGAATATAAACCATTACATTTACTCGAGTTAAAGTACTTTTAACAGTAAGATAAGAAATTTAATTCTCCAACTTACAATTTTTCTTAGCAAAATTACCAGTTTAGCTGCGATCGATAGGTTTGAAAAGTTCTGCAACATTATTTATATTTTACTTTATTTCTGATAAATCTGCAATGATCCCAGTTCTATCAGTTATATAACACGTCATGTAACACGCAACTATGTAACCAGCAAAATTCTTAGCCTTCGTGATCCATTTCATTAAACGCCATGTGTTCTTAATGCTCCAAAATTGATTGCAAAATGTACAATAAATAACACAGGAAGCGGCGAGTTAAAAATATCGTTTAAATCAGGGCTGTCCACGGTAGGTTAAAGCCTCAGCCTAAAGTTGCTGTTCCCAACTCATCTTGGAGGCAATCGAGTTTATTAATATCTACTTCTCACGGATATGATAGTTACGTGAATAAGACGAATGGAGCTTTCTAAAGTTCATGTCCAAGCTTACGAGAGAACCTCTCATTGACCGACTTCGATTTTAACACTTTCGTTCGCGCGATCTCGCGTGTTTAACGCGTTAAAATCAAAGTTCGGATTACATATTTTGTTTTCACGCCGATGCGATTATCCGAATTTTAAATGAATCTCGCTATCGAACGGTAGAAACTCACCGTTCGAAAAAAAGGATGTGCTACGGCCGATACACTCGGTAGCTGGCGGTGAATTGGGTGGCGCTGAGGACGATGAGGAAGCTGCGGTGGCTGAACGGTATCTTGTGCCCTTCCAGATCACCAGCTTACCCAACACCGTGAGCAAAGATTCTCGAAGGGTGTTGTGCCTACTGGCACCACCCAAGCTGCTGGACGAGTCTCTTTTCGAGCATTCACCGACCGCTTCGACCTCGTCCGAGGACGAGGGTAGGTTCAGCACGGTGTGCGCTTGTGGACCGTCTCCGGACACATCCAGAGGTGGTAGCTCCTGCAACTGCAACTGCTGTTTCTTCCGTGTTTTCCGACGTTTCTTCTTCTTTCGCCGTGTACCGCCGTTTTCTTCCTCGATGCACACCGATGCCGCGGTGGCCGATCCCTTCCGGCTATCTTCCGCGTCCGATTTCGTTGTCGTACACGCCACCGAGACTTTGTCGTCCTCGTCGCAGTCCTTCACCTTGATTATCACACGACAACATTGCGTTACAGGTATCACGGTGAAGTAGCGAACGATTGGTCGAGGACACACCGTTTGGCACGAGTGCACTTTTTTCATGGTTCTCTCTCTTTTTTTTTTTTTCTTTTTAATATTCTGTTGCGAAGTTTGAAATTATAATAGGTATTATTTAAATGTATTTCCAAAGTAGAAACATAATCTGGAAGACGCGAACTGATCTGAGTCAGCATTCGCAAGGTACATGCCCGTTGTTCAACATATAAGAAAGTATCGATTGCATTTCCACTTTTCGCATAGTCTACTTCATACATCGTTTATGCAACTGGTATAGAAATATGATTAAATATTATCGGCGCTCCAGAAAGCGTATTTGAAAACTGGTTCAAAAGTGAGGACAACAGAAATGACCGACCATGTGTGAAAATGTGTCATGGACAGTCGACAGACTTTTCCGGCGTCTGCAATAAAGCTGGGATACTCGGATGACCGTAAAGTTGAATGCCTATAACGGATCTTTATTGTGTTATATAGGTTTTATTATATACGTTCTGATATTTAACATTTACTGGGAATTATTATACGCCCTTGTCATACGTTTTCAAAATCTGTGAAAATAAATAATAATTTCAAGCATTGAAAAATTTGATTCACTTTACGCTATTTCCTCCTATCGTACATTTAAAAAATGTTGTGTTTGTGGTATGCTTGGCCACGACTCGAAACTGATTTTCAAGGGTGGTTCAAATTACCACAATTATATTACACATCCCCCCCTTTTGCTCTTGCAAGTTTATTTTTGTAATTGTTGTACGAACAGTGAGATATTCATGCAACAACGGTATAACTTGCGTGAAAATTTCGATTGAAAAATTCAAAGTTCCTCCCGAGGGGACTTGAACCCATGATCCTACGTTTACAAGACTAACACCTTATCAATCCAACCATTCAAGTCCCCGAAATGTATTTTCTCGAAATTCTATTTGCTGGTTAATTAAAAAGATATTTGCACCTTATTTCTTTTATGAAACCATCTAACTTCCTACTCTGAAACCGTCCCATAAAAAAAGAAACCGATAACAGAGTGAATAGGTATATCGTTTCTAAAGAAAAACCAGTTTGCGTAATTAAGAAATCTCATTATAAAGTTTACATAGCTATTTACGGTAAAATGACGCGACATCGAAGCAGTTCGTCCATCAAGTATTAATTAATATAACAATTTACATAATAACATACAGTTTACTTGAATTTTCACACTTCAGATAATACGTTTTATATTCTCCTCTTAAGTGTTATGATTGTACCCGGAGGATATTCAATATTCCATTTAATCGACCCTGACCGTGTTTTTATAAAGTTTTTAACTTCCTTTACTAATTTAGTATGTGTAGAGAACCAGGTAAAAAGTGCACTGGGAGTCAAACGGCACACGAGAGCCAGCGAACGGAAATCCAATAAAGATAGTGAAGAATCATGTAAGTCGTTTATACTCCGTTTAGATTGTACTAGAGTTTTGTCGCCAATTTTCTGAAGATTTATACAAGGCGGATCAAATAAAGCGTTATAAGCAGTTTTCTTTTCTAAATCACAGCAGATATTGATTACAGTTTTTATTTAATCGAGGAAGAGGGCTAATTGTTCTGAAAGCTCCTTCGCGTTTACCATTAAATTAAAAAAGAAAAAAAGAAAAAGCTGTATTTATTTACTGTCATCGTTAAGAGCTCAGAATCGTCACGCTAAAATACTCGCGACTTTCGGCAAGCGTTTTCGTACATTCTTGCCGAATGTCATCTCGTGACTTCCGTTCGTCGCGTCCTCGAGAGGATTGGAGGACTCACCTCGAAGACCTCGAGTTCCAGCGTGTCAACCTCGACGCTCATCGTCTATTCCTACGCAAACTATAAACCTTCTATAAGGCCAACCTCTTCTTCCTCGTGGCACTTTAGACGTGCCGACGAGACGATGTCCGCCTCGCCTCTTACATATTTCCACCTGGATCCCTCCTCTCCTTCGTCCTCGCGAATCATTGCAGGTGCAGGACGGCATTAGCCCGTTAGCTCTGTCTTCGTTAAATCACGATGTCTCCGTACGACTACGTTTCCACTGATCATCCAATGATTGCGTCTCTTGATCGACATTTTTCTTTCAACGATATCATGTATTCAGATAAAAGTTGATCATCAAGCTTCGAAATTCTAATTCCAATTGTCCTTAACATTTATTCGTGGAATAACGTAGCTCCCACGATCTTCGATTCTTCTATCAAAATACGAAATGGAAGATTCGTGTAACGCGACAATGTCGAAATGAAATCTTGGAACATTTCAGATCACCAAAGGGTGCATTCTAACTGGACGCGATTTTCAAAAGCTGCAACCAGTTCAAGGGGGTTTCTGTAAAGAAATCGTATTCATGTGATCCTGTTTCCTATGTTAAATCGTGTGATTATCGTCGCGTAGACAGTGGAAATTAGGAAACGTTTTGCTACTTCATTGTTTTTCAAATCGAACACAGACGTCGGCTAAAAATACAGTGTTATTCTGGTATGCATATTTTTTAGTACACTCGAGAAAAGCTATACTTTTATTCAAATTTAAAAATAACAGCTGAACGAAGCTCTCCGTACGAAAGAATTCTTTTTTATTGTCTTTTCGTTTCATTTCAAAGAATGTTGAGAGCTTTCGATACTCGTTCGAGCATCGTTGTCAATAAAACATTTGATTAATTATAAAAGAACGAGTAATGTAATTATCTGCAGAAGCTGTACTTTGATTAAATCGTAAATGAACATATAAAGAAGGAATATAAACGCGGATTATTTCCCCCACAACGATTCGCTGCTGTTGCATATAAAATTTATACTTGCTGCATGATCAATATATTTAATTTATTATAGAAACAACTGTGAGAGGTTAGCGTTGATTGGAAAACTTCGATGGAATATATTTCATTAATTATCTGCTCTCAAAATTGGCTATCAATAGTTTCAGATTTTCAAGTTTTATCTCGCAAAGGATAGCGAGAAAGTAGGTGTTACGCTGAGATTTTCCTTTACAATGTACGACTTTGATTAGTAGGCCGTAGATAAAATGAAAAGAGATACGACTTTTCTACAGCAGATTCGTTACAGTAGATAGATTAATTCGTAACATTTCACCTCAAGAAGCACGATTGCGAAACCGGAGCAAACCAATCGCGAAGATCATTAGACGGTAGCAAAAAGACCCATTACCAATCGATGACGCAAGGAACGAACACGGATCAGGTGTTATATGAACGTAATCGCGTGTCACAGAAAATGAATTTCCGTTTAGAACGGCCTTACGTGATAACACGAAATGATACAGCATCACAAAGAACACAGTCGAATAATAGATTCCTTATCGACAGATGAAGGGGTTCTCTTTGTTTGAAAAAGATGAATGAAGCGATAGAAATTCAAAAATTCGTAGTTCATAAATTATGAAGAGGAAGAATTTTTAGTGTAAAAAATAGCCGTCCCTTGGTACATGTTACTAGAATTAAAGGTAGCTTTATTGAGGTTAGGTCCTTTGAGAAACGATGTTTTTTCTTCGTCGTCCTTGATTCCGTATGTACGAATGATGTCAGCGCGTTTGACCAAGCAATGTTGGGCGTCTAGGAACGAAAATACCCGGTCTGGGTATCTGTGTATCTCCTCAAAATATTAACGGATCTCGATGTCGAGATTTCCAGAGAATCCATGGTGAAGAAGAGCAAGACCGCTGCCTAGCCGATCTCCAAAGAAGCGAGTCACGATCATGGCTCTTACGTAAGATATCAATGGCTCTCAACCTAGGGAGAGACCGTTTCGCCGACGTTTTCGCGGAAACTCGATTTTGCAACAACAGACCGTTTATGAAATCCTCTTTTTGCATGCATTCACACGAACTATTTTTGTGCATACAAACGAACGAACAGGAACAATTACCCATTGAATCGAGCATACATGCACATACGTACAACGCGAACATGTTCGGGAAAATCATTGTGAAGTTACATTTGGAAGTAACAACGCAACGTACATGATATTTATTTTTTTTAATGAATAATTATTAAAAAGACTTTAGAATAGCATATAGTATTCGTATACATATAATTGAAAATGAAAAACTGTAAGGACTTCAGTGTCATAAAATGGAACATACGTGTAATTAATACCACCGTGACGTGTAATTTAACAAATTAATATTTTGTCGCAGTGCGTGTGGCATCAATGATATTCTGTAGATGTCACGAAACAAATTTTAATTGACCGTTTCATAAAGGGAAATAAAACACTGCTCCATTTTTCGCCAGTTACAACGAACAGTGACCGATCTCTGGACATTTAACTATGAGTTAGGTCCAGTCTATGTCATCGTGATTGATGAAATATTTATGTAGTCATTTTCATCGAACCTTAAGCTTCAAATTGATGTATCATAAGTACTCTTTTACGATACTTTTATGTCATCGAATCGCGCCAGACTTTATATGCCTCGAAATCGGTTATTTCTTGATGTAACTGGCAACAAGCCATTTTATATATTAGGAATATCGATGAAACATTTATGTCATTATTTTCAGTAAACTTTAAGCCTCAAATTAAGGGAAGCCTATGATTAATTCCACATTGTTCTTAATTTCAGACGATGTAATATTTATCACACGCTTCCTTCGATACCCACGCTGTGTCAATGCGTTTGTTCACGATCATGACCGAGCGCAGTTGAAAGCCAACGCTCTCGTAGTTGAGCGCGCGCTCTACACGCGCTCTCATTGGCCAGTGTTTTTTGTTAATAATTCAAAAACGAAGCTTCAATCAACGTTTTGGTAAAGGAAAAAGTTGTTCAGAATCACCCTAGCAACTCCCCATTTCCGGGTGTTACGCGAGTTCTTAGACACCCTGTATTTTATACAACGTTATTATAACTTTATATTTATTTCCCTGACAATTTTCACGTCCTACGTGAATCTACGTTCAATTCTAAGTAAATGTACGCCCTTGGAATCAATCGTGTAGGTGTCTTTCGATGGCTTTCAACTCGGATCAATTATAAGATTTCTTAATGTGATTTTATGCGAAGTCACCGTTTGATACATCAGCCCAGAACTGATTATCGGTGAAATTCTTTACCAATGCCGAATCTAGCCGAGCTTTCTTCGTACGCAAAAATAATCCGAGAATTTGATCGCGTTATTTTAACGCCGTTTGATCGTACAAAACATACGCCCACGTGGATCGTATCTCCTTACGTACGGCAACCAGGATCGTTTCAAAAGACTTTTATCGTCCCTTATTTTCCTGTTTGTTACAACTATGTTTTAGCAGAGTCGCTACTTTTCTACTTACTTTTTTTCTTTCACTTGTTGCTGGGTATACAAGAACGGTCCAAGCGAATATATTTAAAACGATCCGTTCTATTATTAACATTGAGTAAAATAAAATCTCGTGGTCTGAATTTTATAAACGATACACTAACAGGACAGGTGGCACTAAAAGAACTTTCGATAAAATTATGTTACCTACGGTGTGAATTTTATTTTATCGCGTTTACAACGCGAGCAGCGAAGTTGCAATGAAATCTTTACGATTTACTTCGGCACGGTCTGCTCGAAATTCGTCGGAAAATATAGTTGGCCGTTTCGATGATAATGGAAAACCTAGGATCTCATTTCCACGTTCTTCTTCCATTACGTTATTTCGCTTCAGGAATAAACCGAGAGTTCGAGCGGACCTCTCGGCAGATTGTAAATTGCTTTCTGAAAAATGAGAAATCGTGTCCGCGACGGATCTAAATCTATTATTACTGAAAACATGAAAAACAAACGGAAAATTGTATAACACTATTTTTTCTCGAGATTCTTTTATTATCTCTGCTATGTTACGATCGATCTGCATCTGTGACAGTTAATTCGATGATTAGAAGTCATGATCACAATGGCTATTTGCCAGTTACGGTGAGCAATGACCGATTTCGAAATATAAAGTCCGACACGATTCGATGACATAAAAGTATCGCAAAATAGCATTTATGATAAATCAATTTAAAGCTTAAACTTTCATGAAAATGACCAGCTAAATCAATTCTGACCATTTCGTATCCAGTTATACATATTTTTAAGGGATAATAGTTAAGGGTTAAGAGTCGTCGCTAAGATACGACAAACAGAATTCGCCAACTTTTTACCGCGCACCCTGAAGCGATCCTTTTAAATCCGATAGTTGGCACTAATCCAGCCAGTTCTGAGTTATCGATATCAATGAGAAATATTCGTTTAATTGCACCGTCGCGCGCATTGTGAATAGAAAACTTCCAATGTCTGATTCTTTTTTATAGTTGACCAAAGAAATTCATTTTTTCTTTTCGTAAGAGAGAAACTAACGTTAGCGTGTTTTGTGTCGCATGGCGCAGTTATCGATGACAGAATTCTAATTACAGTAAGTAGGAAAAGTTGTTATTGGAAGTTGAACTTATGTGAGTTTCGATAGCATCTTTCGAGTTGAACTCTTTCGATAGCATCATTGCTAAAATATCTGACCACGCGATATCGCGTGCTTTCTATATTATTTTTATGGTAATTCAATAATTTTTCTTTGCATCCTCGCGTTCATCATTGGAGATGATAATGAATTTATTAATAAGAAATGAGAACCACTGCGTGGAGTTGATGACTGGAAAGTCCCAAAGCGACTGACGATGCAAAAGGTCTGAATTCCAATGACAAAAGCAATAATTTAGATACCGATGTTTATCTTATGAGTGCAGGAGAAATTTTAGAGGAATTTAACGTATACGCACGTACGTACACCTGGATCGTGTAACAAGTTCAACGAGCTGAAACAAGAAACGACAAGAAGAAGACATAGAAGTACCAACAAATTCTTCGTTGTTGGAGTTCTTTGAAATTATTTCACGATAATGTTATGATACCAGAGACAACTTATTCCGAAACTTCTCGTTATAATTAAGAGTTCTATTATTAATCATACCTTATACGTTCAACAATATGCAATGATTTGTATTTGTCTTCTGTGAGGGAACGGAAGAGTTCCCAGAAAGCCATACCGACATCCTGGAGCTCAATACTTTGTGATGACTCAATTTCTCGAATTCCGTGATGGGGAAACGATTACCGAGTAATCGGGGAAGCGCTTCCAGGTATTTTAGATGAAACAGAAATTGAACGATAATTTCAGAAGAAAATTACTTCACGAAGTGTAACCAGTTAATTTATGTAAATGAAATTTCAGTATTAATTGTTTAGAAAAATTGAAACGTTAGATGGCTACTGAGCAATGTATAACAACAATCAAAAATAAATCATTTACGGTTGGGATTTATCTACTTAGAAAATTACTAAATGGGCGCCGTGTCTGGTATCAAAGGTGCTTGAGTAATTCCGAGTGTTCGTTTCATTTTCCTTTGTGTTATCTCATCAATAAAGTGGATAGGCAACTAACCCCCTTTGAAAAGAATTATAACGCGCGTTCTTGACCATGTTCTAAATATGTGAATCTAAAGTAGAGGGCGAATTCGAATAAATATCAATGTTTACAAACAAAATGTGTATATTTATACACTTTGGAGTAACTACGTAGGAATTAGGGTGGGCCTAACCCTGCCATCTCCCCCTCAGTATAATCATATAAGAACTAAACATCTGCGCCAAAATGCGATATGTATATGAAATTATGAATGAAAATAGAAGATTATATAAATTTTCAAATATATGTATCAACGCGCGTTAAGGCATGCTTGATTTAAAATTCAAGTTTAGGTTAGGTAACTTGGAATTCGGAAAAGGGTTAGGCAATACTAGACACTCGATACTTTTACCAAAGCTGGGAGGCGGCCTTGCTCTTTTCCAGACAAGAATTCTGGATGAAATACTGAATGAATTATATTGATGAATAATTTTGACAAATAGGCGTGTGATGCTCCATGGGTACTTGGACGCGTACTAGCTAATGCTCCGAAACATGTGTTCGTACAAAAGTATATTTATATTCTCGTTCAATTGGCACATATTATTAGACATCTGTTATCAAGGATCATTTTGACCGATTACCGGCATCGTATCTGATAACAAAATGTCATCGGCATACAACGTTTATTATCGTATCGATTCCTCGTTGTTTCCGCTGCAATAACCGTATATAACATGTATGAGCAATAACGTTTCCTAATTATCCTCCCATACGACGATAACAGCCGTACGATCAGTTTCTAAGACATCGTACGACCTTCGTTTCCTTTCTAAAGGGGAATCAGGTTACCTCGTTGTTTTCGCAGTCAGTGCAAGAGTACTGGCGGTCGAAGCGCCCGCGTCGACGAGGGCGACGTCGTTATAACGATCGTCGTTGGTGAGAGTACATATCGAGGCCGTTTAACGCGAATTTTTCCTATGGAGAAAGCGTTCGTTCGGTGGACGCACATAGAAGAAAAAAAACGTTCGAAACGCTGCCACGCTAATCAATAGTTCGATGAGGATGCTCCTTTTCGAGATACAAGAACGAATCCCGACCAGACGGAAATCCACACAACGAGACTACTACCACCGCACAATGTCGTCGATGACAGTAACGAACAGAATAGATGAGACACGAGTACACTGGGGCTACTTTTACGATATCTTTAAGAAAACGATCATCAACCGGTGCGAGTTGGGTGGGCACCATCTATCGTTTCTACGATCGTGGAACATCGACACCGGCATTCTACGTTTTCTCCCACTGTCATCACTACCGTCACCATAACCATTACTTCCTTTAGACACCTTTCTAGACACCGTTTCGCGTGTACGGACCACTAAGCACAGGAAACGAAGTGAAATTTACGCATCACACACACTGTACATATATATATCACGTTATCACGCACTGCACGAGGGTGCCGTTGCACGACGGCGTGCTTTACACCTTCGTACAGTACGACGAAGACCTGAGTCGTCGAACGAGATATTGTTCAATGATCGTCGAGAGACTTCGAGGCGTCGTCCCTTGACGGCGCCACAAGTCATCACGCCGGTGGTGCCGTGTAATTTCTATGAAACAACCACCCGTTTCTCGCTGTTCATCGGAAAACATCCACCGTTTGGGGATAAAGTGGATTGCTACGTTAACGATTATCAAACTCAGCGCACCTCGAGAAGGGAAGTGCGCACAGGGTTAAACAGAAAGTCATTAAAAATCATTACAATTCTAAATGAAATCTTAATTTTGATGATATTAATATTAAAAGTGATTTAGAAACATTATTAAACATTATAAGTACGAATTGATAAGTACGAATAACAGAGCAAATATTAATTCTCGAAAGTGGAGGGCCACCACCCTTGCATGGTCAGTCTCCTCGGAAGCGCCGGTGGAGAAAGGTGGGAGTCCAAGGAAGGGTTGGCCTACGGCGAGAGCCAAGAACCCCCGGAAATCCGAAACCCGGGGTAGCCTACGAGGGAGGTCATGGACCCCTACAGCAATTTCCAAGAACTTTATGAATTTCCCCTGTATATCGTATCAGAACACCGTTCGAAATGAGAATCATCGATCGACTATAGACGAGCTCTTAACAATTACGTTGCATCAGCAGGCGTCGGAGATTACTTGACTTCGCCATTCGCGAAGTGCATAAGTCATCAATTTAATAAGCACTCACCTTGCATAGGTCGCGTGGCAGCGCTGCGCGACATTGTTTGCGTGGTCTGTTAGGCTGCAGCTCGAAGTTAGGCGCTTTTGGACGGAGTCTGTAGATATGTTTCGCAGAGATAATTCCGCTTCTTAAAAGTACTTGATCGGCTCGACGATGTTTCGCGATCGATATCGTATAAAATGCATGAAACGTACTACGGCTTCTCCTCGATCTTCGTGGTATATAAAACAGGGTAAAAAACGCTTTATCTCCGGTCGATGAAAATAATGTGTTAAGTTTCTCTAGGTTGGTCCTGGTCCTCTTTGTTCTCGTCTCGAAGACGATGGTCCTTATCAATAAACACCAAGAACGGCTAGTTCTCTTGGACGTTAAGATCGATGCTCCTCTATTGATCTGGATGGTGGCCAACTTCCGTGGCCGAACAGGTTGATTGTTATCAGAATCGTGTGAATAGAGGATCGGTGATCGTTTCAATTTAGGAGAGAGATCATCGAGGCACGTGTAAGATGACGATGACGGATGGACAGACGCTCCCGTCGTATGAGGAGCATCAAGAAACGGATGTCTCGATATTCGACGGCAACGTTGACGACGATGCAGGGCATCTAAGGACACCCTTACGTTCAGGTCGGATATTCTGCGGCTAAATAATGGTGACAGGATATCCGGTGTGGGGGGTACGGGGGGTCCTTTGGGGGTGGCGTCCATGTGGGGTAGATGGTCACCTCCTTTCTTTCCTCTCTCCTATGACCCACCTCCTCCTCCAGGACCTCCTCGTTAGGGTGCCCCAGCTTTTGGTGTCCGAAAACACCCCTCCCGTTCGCCACCAATTATCACCTACCCCCTCCCGCGCAGACTTTTGCGAGTACACGCTGAAACATAGAAAATAAAATTTTCAATTAATATATGCCCGCAACTTAAGAAGCTTTGCCTTTTTATTCATTATATATTACACGATTTGCGTCATCAGTTATAACTTTATACATTTTAAAGTTGCTTTATCAAAACTACGAGACACGAAGGACGACGAGCTTCAACTATACTTCTCCATTGATCCATAAGAACAAACGAGTCTAGCGGTCAATCGAAATAAAATCACACTGGCTATAATCTGATTGTATATGCACGTATCCTTGATTCTAAAGGGAAAGTTTTCAGACTTTACGTGTCCGCCAAGAAAACTTAGTGCATTAATGTCGTGAAAACTTTCTTATTTCCAAAGAATACGTTGGTACTTTTTCCAGAACAATAAAATATAATATTTAATAATTTGCTAAAACTTTATTAACGATATCGATGAAAGTAACAATTTTCATGGAATTTTAAGTTTCAAATTAATATACTGCAAATGTAATCCATGATACTTTTATGTCATCAAATCATGCCGGACTTTTGATAAAATCTACCATTTGATATGCGACAAGAACAACTTAAAAAACAGTAAAATTCAGGACTTACTTAAATTTATAAAAGATACCAAACTGATAGAACAGATAATGTAAGCTTTACCTACTCCTTGATGTCGCTAATAACCTTGTAGTTGATGTGACAAAAAACCCTAAATAAAAAAAAAAACCCCACTTGATGCATTTCAAATAAATCATTGAATTTAAATATACTGACTGAACGAACCAAAAATGTATCAATATCATTAATTCACTGTCAGGATTAAAAGTTTTTTGTTCGGTGAAATACGTAATGGTCTAGAAACAGAGATTCTAAAAGTGTCGTGCTAGATGAACATCGATTTAAGTTAACTTCGGTGTTACAGGCTTTAAATCGTCACGATGATTGAGATATTTCCGGTAGACCTAATATTATATAACGCGAACGGATCGCACCTGTCGCGATTAACAAAAGCGGAATCACGCCGTTAATGAACACTGACCGTCGACCTACATGGAGAGAGTTCATCATTGACGGGCATTTTTCATTCCCGCTGTATTCGTGACCTGAATATACGGTATAGCCCTATAAAGTCGCAATCCTATTGACGTTCTGAAAGTAATGTTAATCGATCTTTAACCAGAACTTATATCGTGAGTTATTTCCAAAATCCCGTATGGTTCACCTAAAATTTTCAAGAGAATCGCGTGATCGCCTGCCGGAATCTATTTTCTTTTTGTTCCTTATTTTTAGAAGGTGATTCAGTAGGCGAAAATACGCGTCTAATCGCAGGAGCGAATGTTGAACCAAGTGTTTTCGCACGCAAATATTATGTTCCTCTTCTTCTTCTTTTTCTTTTTTAACTTCTAAATCAGAAGGAGTTATCAGAGCACGCTTCCTCTGAAAAAGGGTTAAATAATTTTGTTTGGTTCATATGGGAATATTGCATTCTAAAGCGTGTATTTTGGGGATCCGTTGATCTTTGCGACACAGGGTGTTCGCGATGACGTTCGAAGGTTTCAGCTATCGGCATGAATGAGAGTTTAACGTATGCTTTATCCTCCCTGCGATGCTAATTGAGTTAACGCCGTGTACGCTGTGAGCGAAATGAAATCTACAAGTTGAGGCTTTGCGAACGTTGCAGCACAGATTTTAGCATGAACAGCTTTTTAAACTAAAGCTTTATCGAGAAACTTTGAATCTCTCGAATCTCTTTTTTATAAGAAAATATATGAAGAATTTGCATGTTACGTCGATTGCATACGTTAACATTCATTAAAGTTACACGCGTTCCAGAGTTTCCCTTACATCCACAATTTTTGCGTGGGTGAAGTAATATTTTATAGTGACCACATATTATTACTAGCAACCGCAGGGTATTATAGAGGCTGATCAATACTAAGATACTTCTACTGATTGCGAGCAGTCCGATGTTTGAAATTGCACGTGAATCGATATACTCTGCGAGAAATCGATAATATTTCGATCGGCTGATGATTTCGGTAAATATTAACACTATGTAAGATAATTAGTGACAAACCCAATTGACACAATAACGAGAATAATGATAACCAAACGAGCAAAGACGAGAACGAACAGAAGTGAACAGCAGAAAGTAAATTGTTAAAGATTAACAGGTTGAAATCGTGCTAATTATTACCCGATATGGAACAAGTGAATTTTTATCAGGATTTAACACGTTCGCTGCCAGCTATCATTTAGTTAATCACCTGCTGTAGACCATGCAATTATTGATCTACGACGTTTTCACATTATGAGGTATGAAATAATTTCTTTATTTCGTAATTTCACGATCAGAAATCAATGCCACACTCTCATTATCATTTGTATTTGCATTGTTTGATTAGCGTTAGAAGTTATGTTAATGATTGACGAACGAAAAAACATTACAATGAATTCATACCAATAATCAACTCTTATACACATCGTACGATTAGTAAACAATAGCAAAGAAGAAAACAAATGACTGTTTAAGCAGCTGAATATCTGAAACGTAATGTGACCCGTAAAGATACGCAATCAAAGTTCTCGTATTGCTGACTGGATGGGGTACAGAGAAACGACATGAATAAAAAGATGTATAAGCTCGTATCTCCTTCTGACGTTTGTGACATGTGAAAAATGCACAGTCCATACAAGATACGAAGGTCGTCCAGGGGTTAATTTAGATATATATAACATTGTTTCGATTCGTACGCGAAATCAATTCCCTTCTGTTTCAACACTTTCGTCAGTTTACATGCTTCGTGAAAAGCATGATTTTTACAATATTCTCTTCGAAACGTACACCGCAAATATATATGATTTAGCATATGACGCACCGTATGCGTCTTATGCTATGTAACACGACGCACCATATGCGTCCTATGCTATCTAACGCGACCTATGCTAACAAACAGCTGTTAAAAACTGAAGAATGCTTGACATGGTACGAATTATCTTGACAGCCCATTAATTTTAAAATGAGCAAAAACTGCACCGTAAGATAAAATTTTATCCTTATTTTAGATAAAAATTAAAATTAGTTGATAGAAGGATGCTTAAACGTCGAAACGGAAGTAATACACGGATAGACGTGCAGAAACTTATCGATTTGTAAATGACTTCTTAATTTGTAAATTAATTATTACATTAACACACACATACGCGGTGAAATATTCGATATCTTAAGCGCTTCATGTGTCAACATCTAATTTGTGACGTTCGAGCAGATACGCGCCGTTTTATGGATTGTTACTGTTTACAGTCTAAGCGTCGACGTAGGAAAAACGATGAAGAAAACGTAGTGAAATCAACGTTGATCAAAATCGCTCGAAACTTCGTCGTAGCTGCTTACTAAATGACCGTCTAATAAACTTTTTACTGCTGTCTAATAATGTCATTAGCTAATCAAGATTACACTTAAAGCTTGAAAATATCTCATGGATTATTCATTTATGCAAACAATCTTGAACTTTATTTTCAAAGTCTACAACCTATCTTACGTACCCAAATATCCTATATTTAACCCTTTTCAGAGTTCACGTGTTCATCGCACGGGTAGTCAAGGTTTATCATGAAAATCAATAAATTTGTATACTTTCATTTTTTTTTTCTTTTTTTGCAAGAAACCAAATGTTTGTAATACAGGACGGAACAGTGTAATGATAATTTAAAAAAAAGAAGATGAGAATGTATCATTTTTTTACGACAGATCGCGATGGTAAATGTTTGACGACGATAAGGAGTAAAACGTATCTCTCGAGGCTGTATATATCATAATGCTAAACATGCGTTATCAAACATCCGAGATAACGAAATTCAACGGTATTACCTAGTAAACGCCAGTCATCGTGTGTCGTTTCAAAGGTGACCAATAATTTTGTACTCTCGGCTCGACAGGCATGTTCTCTACACCCTAATGAGATTCACCCTTTTTCATTCTAAACAAAGCTGTACGACGCGTCGCAAACAATTTCATTCGTTACCGACTACAAGTTTATGCTATTTCAAGTTCCCTTCCCACCTTGGTTAGTTTTATAACGGTGCCATTCGAATAACGTACCGGCGAAATCTTCCCTGATACCGGGTACACTTCTATCTTATCA